GCTGTCTGGGGAAGAACAGCATCTCGGGCTGAGAAAGCAGCGGGTGCAAAGGTCCCGAGGCCTGGCCTGTGTTCGAGCTGCACAGACCGCCTGGTCCAGTTTGCCCCAGATGGAGACGGTTCCCAGGACACTGGGCTTTCAGTTTTCAAAGCAGGATGATCCCTGGCCAGTGTGGCTCAGTTGGTTGGAGCATCATCCCATAAACCAAAAGGTTGCAGGTTCGATTCCCGGTCAGAGCACATGCCTGGGTTGTGGGTTCTCTCCCAGATTAGGATGCACACCAGAGACAACCAACTGATGTTTCTCTCCCTTTCTACTCCTCTTCTCTCTAAATATAAATAAATAAAATCTTAAAACATACACACACACACACACACACACACTCACACACACGATAGCTGTGGATCCAACAGCAGCTGCAAAAAGACGGTGTGCTTAGTGCTCCGAACATTTGGAGCCTTCGGTGGGGCTCTGCTCCCCACAGGGGTGGGTTAGGGAAATGAGGCTAAGTTTCCCGCCTGGCACAGCCAAAAAAGCTGAATAAAAAACTTTCTTTCATCTTAAAAACTTCAAACCAGCCAAAATACAGAAGAGGAGGACGTCGGGAGGTACCTGCAGATGGTTTTTCCCTCAAGGTATTCGTGTGTTCTGAAGGAAGAGCGGGGAGACCGCGCCCCCCTCTCCCTGGCCCCACAGGCCTAGGGAGCACAGACGTGCGTCCGGAGGGGCCTCTCCAGCCTGACCCTCGATCAGACTACGCCTCAAATCTGTCTTGCAAATAACTTTTAAGATACAATGTCCAACATATAGTCGAAGATAACTAGGCACACGAGTAAGTAAGACCCCATGACCGAGAACCAGCTAGAACACACACGCACAGCACGAGGACACCCCGGGGCGACCGCTCACCAGTGCGGTCACTACCACGCATCTGAGCTCTACACTGACCTAGTGGCAGGCACTGCTACCACTTCCACTTTAAAGAGAATGAAAATTGAAGCTGAGAAAGGCCGGGTTTTGCCTGAGGCCGCACAGCCAGTAGGTAGGACCACAGGCTGGTGGCCTCTGTGGCCTGTGCAAGGCATGCAGTGGGGGCCCTCCACCCTTGGAAGTCCCCAAGGCTGCCAGGGCCTGCAGCTGCCTTGCGCCTCGGGCAGGAGCCACAGCCTTTCAGGAAGGGGAGTGGACAGAGAAATGCCTGGGGACCCTGTCAGGGGACACCTGCCCAGCCACCCACCCTCGTAGGTCAGACACAGGCTCATGGGAGACGATGGCCAGACAGACAGAGAGCATAGAGGGTCAAAACACGGGGCTGGTGTGGGAGCTAGAGGCTTTCGGGATGACGACCCAGAAATAGCTGTGAAAATGCGAGACGCTCCCACCTTCGCCCCAGCAGCTCCACTTGTGGGGACTCGGGCTCTGTCACGAGGGCACAAGGGTTCTGGTGGAAGAGTGGTCACTACCGCACTGTTCACACGAGTGAAGAACTGGAACCCCGCTTCTAGAGGGCCTGTGTAAAAAGTGGGGTGCAGTGACTGTCGGAAAGCCACTTCAGAAACGAGGGAGGCTTTTATGTATTGGCATTTTTTTAAAAAAACAGGTTTTATTTATTTTTAGACAGAGGAGAAGGGAGGGAGAAAGAGAGGGAGAGAAACATCCATGTGTGGTTGCCTCTAATGCACCCCCTACTGGGGACCTGGCCTGCGACCCAGGCGTGTGCCCTGACTGGGAATCAAACCGGCGGCCCTTTGGTTTGCAGGCCAGCACTCAGTCCACTGAGCCACACCAGCCAGGGCTGTACTGGCATTTTTAAATGTCCACAAAATGGGACAAATTGCAAACTGCATGTTTTCTACTATTTCATAACTTTGACCTGGACACACGTGTGTAGCATGTGAGTGGTGCAGTCATGGGAGAAAACCTGAAATACGACTGGAACTAACGGAAAAGCAGAGGACTTCTATCTTCATTCTATGTAACCCTTAAACACTTCATTTGGTTTACTGACTTGAGAATGAGGAAGGGCGAGAAACATCAATTTGGTGTCCAGTTATCGATGCATCCACTGGTTGCCTCTTGGGTGTGCCCTGACCAGGGATCGAACCTGCAACCCTGGAGTATTGGGACAATGCTCTGACCCACTGAGCTACCCAGTCAGGCTCTTTGAACATTCCATAATGGAAATGCATTACTTGTATAAGCAGAACCAAGAGTACATATGCATGTGTATGAGTGCACGTTTATTTATTTGTACGCTAACAAAGGGGCTCAGGTGCCCGCCTTTCGTCCGAGGTACCGCAACGGTCCCCTGACCGCTCGGCTTCTCCTTCACCAGACTCCTCCTCAGACTTCCCGGACCCAAGTTCCAAACTGCTCTCAAAAAGGAGTTTCCTAAGATGCCAGCTGGATCACGCCCCCCCATCCTGCTAAACATGCGTCAGTGCCCCCTGGCCCGAGGGGGAACCCGTGTGGTATGAGATGGCCTGCCAGCCTGTGCACAGCTGCCCAGCGGGACCGCCCTGGGCCGCAGCCCCCGCCCCCACCCAGCCGCCCTGGGACAGCCCTCCACGCCACACTCTGCCTGTCCACTCTCTTCTTGAGGTGCCCTCTGACTCCTCTCCCACAATCCCACCCGGCTTTCTCCCCGGCTGACCTCGGCTGACCCTGCAGGTGATGTCCCTGCTTCAGGAAACCCCTAGGATTGGCGTTCTTAGAGGATTAGCTCTCAGGTACGAACTCACCTGCTCACATCCCTGTCTCTCACTGCACAAACCAATCATGTCCTGTGTCAGGACAAGCCCTCATCACTCCCCCATCAGTGACCTTCTAGGACAGGCTTTTACCTTATTCACCAGCCTCTCCCAAGCCCTGGTACACTTACCACCTGACAGTAAGCGCTCAGTCAATGTGCTGCGTGATTAAATGGGGGACTATGACACATTCACACTTGTCAAACAAACGGTTTAAAGACACAGTCCAGCTAAGGCAGAACTGGTGGCCATGGGGTTTGTGTCCCTTTTTAAAGTCGCTACAAAGGCCAAGTTGAGGACCTGTTCCAAGACATCCTCGCAATGGGAACACAACGGTAATGAACACAACGTGACAATGTGAAGGGCAGGGCAAGTTCGTGAGTTTTTTTTAAAGATTTTATTTATTTTAGGGACGGGGGAGGGAGGGAGAAAAAGATGAAGAGAAACATCAGTGTGTGGTTGCCTCTCACGAGGCCCTACTGGGGACCTGGCCAGCAACCCAGGCATGTGCCCCGACTAGGAATTGAACTGGCAACTCCTTTGGTTCCTAGGCCGGTGCTCAACCCACTGAGCCACACCAGCCAGGTCTGCCAGCTGGTCAATTCTTAAGCCTGGCTCTTGCTCTTCCTTCTGTCCGGAGTGGATGGCTGAGACAAAAGCCTCCCTACTCTGCCTGCTCAGGAGACAGGACAACTCTCTGCACCCACAGGCTCAGGGCCAAACCTGGAGGGGCCGGGTGACCCTGGGCTTCCATGCCCTGGCCTTTCATGAACTCACAGATCCGTGAGGACATAATGGGCACAGCAGCAGGAGTTCTTAAAAGCGCCTAGACTGATTCAGCAAGCATGGGCTCTCTGGGGCCCCTCCGAGATCCCCGGTCTCCTCTCCCGGCTCATGTTCATCACCCCTCCTTTCTGGACAAGAAGAAAACATACTCACTGGTTCCAGGACGAAGGCTTAGCCAGCTGTGAAGTGACCCATACTTTGTCAGGACTGAATTCATGCTTGACCTCTGGGGCGGGGCCACCTCGCCTGGCCCCCAAGTCTTGTGCTAGACCTGTAGGTCTGTGTTCCTCTGTCCAGCTGCGGTCCCAACCCTGGAGGCCTTCTCCCAGACTCAGCCCCATCTTAGTTTCTGCAGCTGAATCCGTCTGCACAGAAAACCACGGAGCTCTCAGCTGGGCCAATTAACTTCCCTCCACCACAGGCCCCCTGGGCACCATAGATTATAATGGATGAACTTCGTGGCCACGGTTTGCACTGTGCTTCCCTGCCAGTGGTTTTTTCCCCTTGGATTTTCCATTCCCAGGTACCCATTTGCTCCCTGGAATGGAGTTCTCACCCGGCTGCCTGCCTTGGCGCCCCTTCCTTTCCCAGAAAGCGATGCCACGGAGACCCTGGTCTCTGCAGTCCCAGCAGCAGCCCCTCAGTTAGCCGCCCTGGTGAGAAGGAAGGCCCGAAAGTTTGGTGGCTTCTCCCTGCCCAGCAGACGGTCATATCCTGGACACCAAGCCAGTTCCACAGTGTTAGTAAAACCCAAGCCACAGTCCGCAGAGCACCACAGCATCGGGGCTGGTTGCCACGGCAACCCTGGGCTTCCCAGACCGACACATTGTCTGCTGCCTGGCTGTTTGCTTACTCAGCTCCCAGCGCTTCCAGATTGGACCTGCTGCCCCTGACTCCAAGGGCAGCTCCTCTTAAACTGCCCCCACCAGCCCACCCTCCATCCCACTCTTTTCCTGGCAAGACCTCGGAAATCCTTAGCTTAGCAAAGCCTTTCTGCAGAGGCCCCCCCTAAATTATGTGGCTTTCTCCCCGTCATGGCACAGATGGTCCCCATATTTATTTTAGCTGCTGTTCAGGCCCAACCCTGGGAGTGGGGACCGGGGCTAAGCTCAGGAGAGGCAGTCACAGGCAGAAACTCTGGCCCTTTTTTTCCCCTTTCTTGATTTGAAATTTTCCGGGAGCAACTTTTTTCCTTTTAATACACTCTCAGGCCGGAAAGGATATGGCATCCGCTCTCAACCCACATTCTTAGGCCCAAACAGAAACACTGAACGGCCGCTGCAGTCAGTGCTGCAGTGGAAAGAGGCACAGGCGTCTGCCGGGCGTCCTGTCTCCCGCAGGTGCGCCGAGCCCCTCATCCCCTCGTGCCTAATTCAGGCCAGTGTTTCTGCCATTTCTCTGCAGCACTGAAATAATCTCCTGGATCAAAACGGCCTACGTATGTAATGAAATGACACCAGTTCATGTTCTCAAAAATATTTAATGATACAAAATAATGTTGAATGGAAAAAGCCAGCAGAAAACCACATATACAGCAGAACACTGATGTAAAAAACACAATTTACAAAAATACCAGACGAGAAATCAGGCCATTAAGCGGTCACCAGGCGGCAGCGGGCTTCAGGGTCATTTCCTACACGTGTGGACGGGTAACACCAGTTCGAAAGCACTGCCTGGAGGATGAGGGTGATCTCCCGGGGACAGGCCACCAGCGGGAGCCGAAGAACTCACTTCTCTGTGGCTCTGGAGCTGGAAGGCCAGTTTTAAGGTGCGCTTGCCCAGAGGTGGGGCAGGTAAGATGGTTTCTGATCCCAACATTGAGTTTCTGCTCTGTCCCCATGCGACGGTGAACATTTCTGTCTGGGTCCCTGCCTTCTGGGAGTCTGCCTTGGGACCAGGACAGGCCACCCACTGAGCCACGCCCTGGAGTATGGCTCGGCCTCAGGCACTGCGCAGGCAGGGGTGGGGAAAGGGCCCAGGTCCCTCACAGCCACCTGCCTTCCGAGGTCCAGACGGGATCTGACCTCAGAGCTCAAACCCCAGAGCCTACTGTCTCATTCACTCCACTGCCGAGTGGGAATCTTTTAAAAAAGAAGCCTACCAATGAAACAATTAAAAAAAAAATTCGCCATCTGGTACAAAGGAACCCTGTAGCCACGTCGCTTGGTCCCCACACTGTCTGCCAGGCAGACAGCCGAGTATTAGGCAGGGTAGGCAGTCACCCACCAAAGGACTCAGCCTGCAGCCTGGTCACCCCCACTGTCCCCTCCCACAAGCCACCCAGATCCTGATTTCCCACAAACCACCATCCACAGCAGCTGGAGGCCAGGGCACTGCCCCTCCCCCGTCTCCAATCTTCAGTTTCCAGGCTGGGGTCTCAGCGGGGACGTGGGCGCCCTCCGCCAGACCTAATGGGGACAAGTGGGAACAAATGAACTTTGTTTATAAAATGAGCCCTAGAACTTGAGTCTCATCATTCATTTTCCTATCTCCCTTTTCTGTAAAAGGACCTCTTTAACAGACATGACTTTAAAGAGTCAACGACCCAGGATTTTCACATTCTAAGTCACACGGTTTTTAATTTCTTTACGATAGGCATGTACTGCTTTGGAAATCACACACGAGACTGAAAGTAACTCCAATGCAGACTCACGCCTACCCGACCTGAACCACACAGACTGCAGAGAGAACAAGCTGAACCCGTCAACGAGGATCACCAACTCGACATCCCAGGTCTATGGCACCTGCTGCTGGTCTCACCAGCACTCCTGGAGCTGGCCAGAGCCCCAACTCCAGGACCTCTGAATCCCCTGAGAAAGGCCTACACAGGCTTGGGGCCCCGCTCTGGAGGGTCTGGCCCTCTGACTGCGGCTGACGGCTCCCTCTAGTGGCGATGTCTGTCTTCTTTCCAGATGGCCCTGGAAGCAAGAGGTCATCCTTAACCCCCAGCAGGAGGTGAGGCTAAAGGCAAGCCTGGACTTAAAGGAAAGGCAATTGACAGAGCAGCACTTTCATTCTGGGATTCGCTGCCAATAGCCTACAGTGACTATTATGATGAAGACGCAAGGAACTGGGGAAGGAGCAAAGAGTGGATGGCAGGAGATTGTTTCGAAGTTCTCTGCAAGGCCAAGACAGAAAACATGTACAAGGTAAACTTAAATATAAAAAAGAGGCAACTTTGAAGTCAGACTGAATGGTCTGTAGAATACCGTCAGCCTGGAGTGACCAGGGCTCCCAGGCGGACGTCGGGCCGTAGAGGCAATGGTGATCAATGATTCCCACGGACCCAGATGTTAAAACCTGCACATGCTGATAACCTCCTTCGGCGTGATCTGCTGAGAGCTGAAATTCAGAACACCCTGAGATGCCTCAGGGGCATCTCACCGCCCGCCGTGCTCCTCCTTGCTCAGCACCCCCACTCCAACCCCGGAGGGCGAGGAGCCGTGAGCTTCAGGACAAAACACTCATTGGTGCAGAGCTATGCGCGTGTGCAAGTTCAGGTCCAGCCAAATGCAGGGCCAGCCCTTCTCCCAGAGCAGCCCTGCCAGGCCTCTTCCAAGACTCCTGGTGGCCAGTCCTGCCCGGGCTGCATCTTTAGTTTCAGGTGAGAAGTCAGCACAAATCTAGTTTCAGAGGCCTGGGGACAGGTTTCCTGGCTTTGAGGGCAATTTCTGCAGCATAAAAACCATCGGACCCACAAAGACAGTGAAGGGCTCTGGGGTCCGAGCTTTCCCATCAGCCCCTGATTAGAGATGAGACACCATCTTCTATGCCTGACCCACAGGGATGGGAGAGAAGCCGGACGGCATCACAGGGTCAGGGGACAGGAACAACCACGGGGGCCGAGACCCACCGCAGGCAGACCTTCCAGTGGGCTCCTGCGCCCGCCAGCCATCACGGGGTGAGGACCGGGGAGCGTCTCCGCAGCCCGGCGTGCCTGGATCCTGCTGCCCAGCCTGCCTTCCTCCTGGTGCGTTCCTGTGGGCCCCGTCTGTCTACTTTTGTCCAGATTCCAACAACCAGGTCCTGGAAGAACTTTCTGAGGAATCGACTGTATTCTTTGTTTCAGCGGCGTCCAACCTTTTCCTCACCGCCCATCCCTCCAGAGAGTAAAACATCACGCAGGGTGAGCCATACAGCAGACCAGGGCAAAACTGGGTCACGTCGCTTTAAGAAGGGACTTCGACGACTATAAACTTCCAGGAGTTACGCAGGAAACACCGTGACGTGACGGCGCCTGTCGCAACGGCACAAGCCCGGCAGTCTGCAGGTGTCGGGCTGGAGACAGAGTCAAGCTTTCCTCCCCGATTCGAAACATCAGTCCGACTTCCGACGGGGTCTAGTTTTTGAGTGTTGTTTCTCTTTACCGGTTTCCTCGGTTTCTCTTGCTCCGATTTCTCCGGAGGCGCCAGGAAGTCTGAGGTTGTAATCTGTCGTGATGTAGGGTATTGCTCCCTCGAGGCCACGCTGAAACGGAAACACAGAGAGGACGTGGAAACACGCCCCGTCCACGCCCCGCCCCCACCGAGGACGTGGTAAAGGCGAGTCTGGGTGCGGGCCCTTCGAGAGAGTGGCTCAAGCACGATGGTGACCGCCCTCTCCAGCCGTTCCACCCGCCAAACACACCAGGCCGCACGAGGGGGTAGGTGTGGCGTTTCCCTCTGAGAAAGGCAGGTCCCCGCAGTGGCCTGTGCCGTGACCCTCGCCCCGACTCTGGGCCCTCTCTTCCTCGCCCACACCCACCTGGCTCTTGAAGATGCACTGCGGGATGGAGATGGCTCCGACCAGCAGACAGTTCACGTTCCGGAGCTCCTCCGGGGGCAGGGGAGTGAGGATGTGGTACAGCCTCTTCCCCACATCGACCCCCCTACAAATCCCTGGAAGACAACAGGACACAGGAAAATTGCCCTTTCTGCAAGAAAGCAAACCTCCCGCCACTCCTAACTGAAGAGCAGCTTTTAAAGTAAGAGCTTCGATTTCAACTGGGGTTTGCTTTGAAAATGCAAGGCAGCAGGAGACGGAGCATGTGACTATCAGAAGACTCGTGCGCCTGTCCTTGATCAGCCGCGAGGCACCGTGCTGGCCGTGGAGCCAAAGCCCAGGCTGTCTCACCCACGGCCCCACAGCGAAGGCAGTCAGTCCACTGGGGACACAGAGCTGCCTCGGCCTCTCCCACCGCCAATTCCTTCCTTATGGTCTGTACAAAGCGACACAACTTCTGCTGAAACTCTTGGGAAGTCCAGTATTGTATAAATCAGAAATGTGTAATTGCTTAACGACTTTGCTCAGTTTGGGTCACCCTTCCAGAAACATTCACTGATGGTTATTGACATCATGAGCCAAGGGACGGTCACCCGAGGTGGGCGTGGTGCTGTGAGGCCCGGCCAGACTTGGACCTGCGCTATGGAAATGCCGGGACGTCAGGACGGGCCACCACCGTGTGTGCTCAGACCACTTCCAGGTGTGGCGTCCAGGCAGGAAGCATCTCCAGTGTCCAGTGCAGAATGATGGTGCTCACACCGGCACACGAGAGGGAAGAGTGGACGTTCAGGAGAGAGAAGCTACCTGGCCTGCTAGTGGGTCGGGCGTGTGGAACAAAGAAGGCAGGGGTTGCCAGGGAGGACCCAGGGTCTGGCCCGAACATCAGTGTGAATTTTTGAAGGGCCCTTTGAAGGACCCAAGGGAGCAGGAAGCAGTATGGGGTGGCAGGTGGGATGGGGTGAGAAGATTCAGGGAGAACCTCCGGTGTACGGACCCGTCGGGACTTCGGTTCTGGACCTATGTCCCAGATGCCCGAGAGCCGCCCAAGCAAAGAGGTGCACAGGGCACATGGACCTGGGGCAGGGGCCTGGCCGGGCTGGAGCGATGCTACGGGGAGTGGGCAGGACACTGGACTCAGAGCCCCAGTGGTGGGGCAGGTGGCCTGGAGAACACATGTCCAGTGAGGAGGCTGTGGCCGGGCCCTCGGGAACCCTAGACTGAAGGGAGCTGGCAGGAGAAGCAGGGGGCTCTCGGGCCACTCCAGGAGACGCAGCCCTGAGGCCCAGGCCAGACGCCCACAGCTGGGGAAGTGAGTCGGCTGCAGCAGGTCTGCAGGCAGGTTTCACTCACCAAACCCCAAGCAATCGCAGACTGGAGTCTGGGCAAGCAGGATGGGCCCGTCTGCGTACCCCCTGACGTCATCCAGGATCTTGCAAAGAGCAACCCAGCTGGCATTGACGGCGTAGAGCACGTGGGTGGGTGCGACGTCAGAGTGGATGATCCGCAGGGCGACGGCGCTGAAAGGGACCTGGAAAACCAAAGTACGTCTCCCTCTACTAAGTCCTTTTCTGGTTAAATTTTTTGGGGTGACACTGGCTAATCCAACTACAGAGATTCAAGTGTACAGCTAGTTCCACGATACGCAACCTGTGAACTGCACCGTGTTCACCGCCCCAAGTCGAACCTCCCGTCACATGTACGACCCCCTTCATCCTTTACCAGCCTCTGCCTGCTTTAGTTCCAGCCAGCTCTCCAAGGTACGTCTGCCAAACTGCTCCAAAAAGTATCAGAAGTGAATGGAAACACCCACCAGCGTTCACTTAGAATTTACTGCTTTAACGCAAAGAACTTAAGAAATTTATGCCACGTTCTTGCGTACCACTGACTTGCTAAAAATCTAAACTTCATGCCTGGAACTTTCTTGGCTGAAGAGACACAAAGACACAAGTCTGTAGATATCCTAGAGGAGTTAGAGTCGAGCGAGACTGAAGACGCCTGAAGTCTCCAGCACAACAAAACCAAAATCTGCCCTGGCAGGTGTAGCTCAGTGCATTGAGCCCCAGCCTGTGAACCAAAGGGTCGCTAGTTCGATTCCCAGTCAGGGCACATGGCTGGGTTGCAGGCCAGTTCCCAGCAGGGGACGCACCAGAGGCAACCACACATTGATATTTCTCTTCCTCTCTCCTACCCCTCCCCTCTAAAGATAAATAAAATCTTAAAAAAAAAAAGTCAAATCCTTTCATGAGACAGCCACCATCCCTCCCTAAGTAACACATCGAATTAAGAGCAATGGATCCCGCTCCCGGAGCAGAAGTTAAATAACCACCATTAACATGTAACTTTCTGGGCAATTTCGAATGCTGAAAGGAGGAAAGTATTTTGCTACACATATTATTTACGTGTTGCAAACACATCTGAAATAACGAAAGGCAGTTTACATTACTGGCAGGTGAGTCCCAACTCCAGTTACACAGCAGCTCCATATGAGCAAAACTCCAGCGAGCGAACCGCCTCGGACTCTCCGGTGGGGACAAGCGAAGCCCACAGCCAGCCCCGCCCTCAGGCTCGGGTGGCCCGCTGAGGTCCCGGCCCACTGCTGTGGCCTGCGGGGCCTCGGGCCTGTCTCATCCACCTGACGGGGCCCAGTCCTCTATGCTGGAAGCTGGGGACACACTAGCATTACCCTCAGGGTGCCACGTGGTCACCAAGCCATGTCTCATCAGGAGCTGAGCGGAGTCTACAGCCACACCACCCTGAACTCGCCCCATCTCGTCTGATTTCGGAAGCTAAGCAGGGTTGGGCCTGATTAGTACTTGGATGGCAAGAGCTGAGCGGAGCACCTGGCCCCAGTGCGGGCTGCATACCAGATGGGCCGCACAGCACCGGGGGGCGCTCTGGGCTCCCCAGTACAGACCACGTGTTCACTGCATCCCACGGGCCGGCTGACTCAGTGTCCCTGGCCTTGGTCCTATCATCCGTAAAATGGGTGTTATACCAGGGCTGTTGTGAGTAAAGGAGCCAACTTAGGCCTTGGCTGGTATAACTCAGTGGATTGAGTGCCAGCCTATTAACCGAAAGGCTACCGGTTCAATTCCCAGTCAGGGCACATTCCCAGGTTGCGAGCCAGGTCCCCAGCTGTGGGTGTGAACCAATCGACATTCTCTCTCTCACATCAATGTTTTTCTCCTTCTCTTTCTCCCTCCCTTCCTCTCGCTCTAAAAATGAGTAAATAAAATCTTTTAAAAAAAGAAAAAAAAAAGAAAAAGGGAGTAAATACCAGCTCAGAACAGAGCACAGCATAGCATAGGGTAAGCACTTAAGAAATGCAACCTGTTCCTATTTTATTCTTCCATCTTCAGAAGCCAAACATTCGGGTGGTTTCTTCCCAGAATAATTCTTAAGAGCTTGAATACCAAGAGATGCAAGCACTCCTGGGCTGGAACCCACTTCTAACGATAACACAGCATGAAAGGCTTTGTCACTGCGATGGGGCGTTGGGGGCAGGCGCTACGCCACTGTGAGCACCCGCTGATTCCGCCCGCCTCTCTACCGGGCCGGCACTGCCTTCTGCCCCACAGACGGTGACCAAGCCCCACATAGCTCGGAGGCAGGGTGTTGGAACCAGATGGCCTGGGTTTAGTCCTGGGCCCCTCTGGGGCAGGCAGAGCACTCTTAACCAGCCTCAGACCAGAGCTGTGCCTGGCACAGCCCAGCAGTTAGGAGCACGGGCCCTGGAGCCGACTGTCCAGGTCTGACGCAGGCTCTGCCACGTCCTGCCAAAAGGGGACAGTCACCGAACCCACGCTGTCGGCAGGTTCTGAGGGTTCAATGAGAGAAGGGTTACGGAGTGGTTAGGAGAGCACCAGGCACACAGGAAGCCATAGAAGTGTCCACCAAATAAACAAAACAAAGCTGACCGCTGCCCAAGTTCAGGCCCTACCTGATAGGGGGTCAGGCCATGGAGGGGATGAAGCGGCCTCGGCACTGGCTTCTGCAGCTGGCCGAGGTAACCTAACACCGCCAAGTCCCGAAGAACTCGGTTATGCGACTCTCTGGAAAGGAATCACGAGGAGGTAAGTAGAGATTGCGCCCCTCGGGTCCCCACCCCGCGACTCGGAAACAGAGTCATTACACAGATGACACTTACACCTCAGTTTGTGCACGCCCCACCCCTCTGCAAACCCGATGGCCAAACAGGAAGCGCAAAGACTGGCCCAGCCAAAGCTCCGGCAGCCAGAGCTGGAGCCAACCTGGCTGTTTCCACTGGGAAACCACCGCTGTCCTCCGCACAGAGACGGCCGTGCTGGAGACCTGGGCCGTTCCAGAGGACGTACCGCGTTTGCAGAGCAGAGGACAGAGGCCGCTCCGGCCGCGGTGGCCTGCTCACCTGTTTCTTGGAGTTTTTCTGAACACGAAGTCCGACTGGACACATATCAGCTTGTGTCCAGGAAAGACAACCGGACTCTCCTTTTCTTCGTCACCAAACTCCAAACTCTCTGCAAACTCGGCCAGGAAGAACCCTCTGTTTCTGCATTTGGACTTGCTCCTTGTGTACAAGCCGTCCACGCCGTCCACGTAGTCAGGGGTGAGGCTGGGCATGGGCTTGCACCGGACGGAGCTGAACTGGACGACGTGGCTGGGGGACAGCAGTCGGATCAGGTCCACGAGCAGCGAGAGCCCTTGATCTGAGAGGCAGCAGAGGACAGCAGCGGTTAGTGCGCCAACGCTGCACCACCTGCTCGCAGACGGCTGGGACGCTTACTCTGAGACAACGAAATGATCGGCCAGCCTGGCTGGTGTGGCTCAGTGGATAGAGCATGGGCCTGCGAACCAAAGGATTGCAGTTCGATTCCCAGTCAGGGCACATGCCTGGGTTGCAGGCCAGTTCCCAGCAGGGGATGCACCAGAGGCAACCACAATTGATGTTTCTCTCCCTCTCTCCTTCCCTTCCCCTCTAAAGATAAATTAAATCGTAGAAATGATCGGCCAGGAGAATCTCCTACAAACCGGGCTCCAGCCGCAGTGCCCACAGGCCAACAGCTCCCTCTCAGTCCCACCGCGCATCCTTTCCTGCCTGAGGTGCCGCCATGGGCTTACCTGTCACCCAGCCCATGGTGTTGATGATAAGAGGGGACTCTCGCTTGCAGGAGCTGAACACGTACTTAATCGCCTCTATGTAATGCTCACAGCTGTTCTTACACGCAGCCCTCCCGAAGTACACCATCTTCTGAGGCCTCCTCTGGTGGGTGAAGGGCGGGCCTGAGAAGACAGAGATCAGAGGGGGAACCCAACTATGCAAAAGGCGGCAGGTCAGCCGTGCTCCGTGACAGAGCGTCCCGGGGGATCCGAGACCACTCACCACCAGAAGCAGATGTGCCGCCACGGGCGGAACGCTAAACTTTCAACTTCGTAACAGACGGGCTCCCTTTTAGCTGCACAGTTAGCTCCCGTTATGGCCTGGTGAGGCCATTCATTCACCATTTACCGAGCACCCACCACATGCTGGTCACTTCTGCGAACACAACAAACGTCTCCCTCCTCGTAGGGCTCCCATTCTGGTGGGGGGCGGTTAGTAACAGCAGCGATCACTCGCAGGAATGCAGCACTATGTTCCAGGCGTGCTGCACAGTCTGAGTTTCATTAAAACCCTACCAGGTAGCTGGCACTTTCACAGATGAGGACACTGAGAGGGACTCAAGGTCACACAGCTGGCACATGCCAGCCAGGCTTCAACTAAGGCACCCAGTCACCTCTGGAGCTCACACTCTCTAACGAGACCCCCAGTCTGTTCAGCCCAGGCCACTCTCTGTCTCCTCTGGCTGGAGCCAGGCCAGAACCCTCAGCGGGCAGGTGACCAGGACCGTGTGACAACACAGTTGGCAGGGTGAGGGTCCTGGTCCATGTGGTCGGTGCAGGGCCACCTGAGACAGAGCTGGTGAGACTCCTCGGATGGGCGGGCCACAGCTGCGAGCGGCCTGGGTCATCAAGGGGTGGAACAAATACACAGGGACTGAGCGACTACGTACACATTTTGAGAGCAACCGTAGCCAAAATTCTTGTCATCAGGGAAGAGACCTGTCAATGTGGAAGGGGGACAGCCGACTAGAGACCCGGGTGTCAGAGTAGAACTGGAACAATGGCGTAAACTCAGGGCTCTTAGTAAACGGAAGAGATACAGGTGTGAGTGAGCACACACACGTACACATATGACGCGCAAGGGCGTGAACAGGCATGTATTTCTGGCTCTGCCTGCCAAGGGGCTCTGCCCACCGAGGGGGGCTAGCAGCAACAGCGCCCAGGAGCGCACCCTGGCCCGGTTGGCGTGGACACCGTAGCAGACACACCTCGACCGAGGCAGCAGGACTAACGCCTCCGGGAAGAGAACGACCAGGCGCTGTGTCGAGTGGTGTCCTGGGAACACAGCGCCACTTCCAGATTCAATCATGAGAGACGCTCGGTAACTGTGCCCTTCAAAACTGTGAAGGTCACAAAACGTAAGAAACGCTGGAGGAAGTGTTCCGAACTGAGGGAGACTACGGTCCTGACGATACACTGGGCCTGCTCGGGTGACGGGGCCGAGCCTGAGGGCGGCACTGGAGCAACACGCCTGCTGCCCTGGTCTTGGTGCTGGTGCTGTGACTACGCAGCAGTGTCCTCGTTCTGAGATTTACCTACTGGAATACAAGGGCTTAGCCCTGGCTGGTGCAGCCCAGAGAATTGAGCGCGGGCCTGCGAACCAAAGGATCGCAGTTCAATTCCCAGTTGGGACACATGCCTGGGTTGCAGGCCAGTTCCCAGCAGGGGATGCACAAGAGGCAGCCACACATTGATGTTTCTCTTCTTCCATCTTTCCCTTCCCCTCTAAAGAGAAACAAATTTTTAAAAATCTCTAAAAAAAAAAAAAGTTGCTAAGAAATATTAAGGGCTTAAAAATGGAAAAACACTGAATGGACTGGAGAAAAGGTAAAAAGGGGAAGGCGACGAAGCCAGTCCAAGAGCCAAGCCTAACAATTATTTTTTGATCAAGCTGTTAACATGATGCAAATGTTTTAAGAGTTCCTCTTGACAGTCTATTGAATCTCTAACATACCTAGCGACCTAACACAATGCCATTTGCCTTTTAAAAGTCAACTGAACGAAAAGCACACGATGATCCCGACAGACACAGAGTCCAACATCCTCTCATGTTAAAACCACCCCACAATCTGGGAGAAGAAGCCAACTTCTCGGACCCAGGAAAAACCAGGAAAACACAGCTGACACCATACTTGATGGCGAAAGATCGGACGGCTGCCCTCTACGATCAGGAACAAGGGAAGGATGCTTCCTCGCACTCAACAGTGTACTAGAGGTCCTGGCCGAGCTATTAGACAAGAAAAAAGAAGTAAAAGCCATCAAAATTAAAAAGGAAGAGATAAAACTATCACTATTTACAGGTGACATGATCTTATATATGGAAAATCTCAAAGAATTTGCTGGAAAGCTACTAGAATGAAGGAATTCAGCAAAGTTCCAGAGAATAACATCAACACACCAAAAAATCAATTATGTTTCTATACACCAGCAATGAACAATCTGAGAAAAAATTAGTTAAGGAATTCCATTTATACTAACAGCTAAAATAATTGAATCCTTAGAACTATACCTAACCAAGGGATGAAAGATTTAAACCACAAAATACTATTTAAAGAAATTAAAGCGGACACGAGGAACCAGAACGCGTCCTGGTCGTGGGCAGCGGACAACACCACGCACAGCGGCCACAGGCTCAGCACAGCCCGGACCAGCGTGGTCACAGCCTCTTCCACAGAAACGGACAAGCCGGTTCTCAAACGGAAACAAAACTGCCAGGGCTCCTGAAAGGCCTTTCTTTTTTAATTGTTTTAAATGTTTATTTATTGACTTTGGAGAAAGGAAGGAAGGGAAGGAGTAGAGAGAGACAGAGAAATGTGGATTTGCTGTTCCACCCATTCGTGTGCTCGTTTGTTGATTCTCGTACGTGCCCTGAGGATTGAACCCGCAACCCTGGCGTAGTGGGATGGCGCTCCAGCCACCTGAGCCACCTGGCCAGGCCCAAACAATCCTGGAAAAGCAGCAGGTTGGAGGACTCACATCGCCCAACCTGGAACCTGCTACGGAGCTACAGTAATCGGACAAGTGTGGTGCTGGGGGAAGGACGGACACGGGGGTGGATGGAGCGGAACCGAGCCCAGGGAAAATCTCGCACATCCAGTCAAGGGATTTGCAACAAAGGTGTTCAGACCATTCAATGAGGAGAGGAGTCTTTTCAACAAACACTGACTGGAAAACTGGACGCCCCACGTACAGGAATGAGGTTGGAGTCTTTCTTTATGCTGTACAGAAAAGTTTACTCCAAAGTGGATCAGATCAGAGACGACAGACAAAAACCACAAGTCACTCAGCCAAAGCAGAGGGCAGGACTTGGACCTCCAGCTGTGTCTAGAACCAAAGCATCCCCTGCCCCTCCACAGAACCAAGGAACCCACACAAGACGGGAACTTGACACCAGAACCCTTTCAGAAACAGAGGGTCCGTAGTCCAGGAAGATCTGATGCTGAAGCCCCCTTCCATAAATGACCAAGTTCCCCCAATTAAAGTGTTAATAGAACGCGCCGCACCACTTCTTCCGCATTGCTTGTTCTGGAACTGGCCTGGAAATCTGGACCAGGGAGGCTGGTCCGAGCTTCCTCTCAGGCCTCCCTGTCTGGCTGCCTGACAAGAAAACCGTTCTCCCCGCTGGAAGTGCTGGGAGTTGGGGATCAAAGACCTAATGTTCAAGCTGAAACTTACAGAACCCTTAGAAGAAAATATTACAGAAAATCTTTATGACACTGGATTTGGCAACATCTTGGAGGATATGTCAACAATAGGATAAGCAATAAAGGAAAAAAAGATAAATTGACTTCATAAAAATTAATAGTTTGTGCATCAAAGGATGTCAATTAAAAGAAAAGACAACCTATAGAATAAGAAAAAATATTAGCAAATCATATCTGATAAAGAATTAATATCCAGAATATATAAAGAACTCCTAAAACTCAATAAAGACAACCCGGCTCAAAGATGGGCAAAAGACTTGAATAGACACTTCTCCAAAACAGACCTACAAATGGCCAGTGAGCGTGCAAAAAGGTGTATAACATCATTAGTCACTAGAGAAATGCAAATGAAAAGCACAATGAAACAGAACTTTGCATCGAAACAGACGGCTAAGGTCGAAGTAACCAGCTCAGCCGAACGCTGGAACCCCACTCGCCGCTGATGGAAGTAAAATGGTGCGGTCGCTGTGAAGAACTGGCGGTTTCTCTAGAGTTAGACACGGAACTACCAAACCACCCGGCAAACCCAATCCAAAAGGAGCGAAAAAGCAGGGGCTTGAACAGATTCGTAGACACCAGTGTTCGGGGCAGCACCGCTCAAAACAGCTACAAAGGAGACACAAGCCAAGGGCCCAACGGCAGCTGAACGGATACACAAAATGTGACATACACATACCACGGAATAACACTCAGCCATTAAGCTTTGACACGGGCTACGTTATGCTGAGGACAAGTACGGAAGGGTTTCGTTTCCAGGAGGTACCCAGTCCAGGCAACTGCACAGGGACAGAAAGTAGGGCAGAGGTTCCTAGGGGCTGAGGGAGGAAGGGACGGGGAGTCCTGTGTTGACGCAGGTCCCCCTTGTTTCGGCGTCACTTTCTGTGGTTTCAGCTGCCTGCAGCCAACCACGGTCTGCAAATATCTAATGAAAAATTCCAGATCTAAACGACTCACAAGTTTTTTTTAAATAAAGAATGTGGCATGTTTTTTAAAAGACTTTTTTAAAATTTTTATTTATTTATCTTCAGAGGGAAGGAGAGAGGAGAGAAATGTCAATGTGTGGTTGCCTCCTGTGCGCCCCCTGCTGGGAACTGGCCTGAAGTCTAGGCACGTGCCCTGACTGGGAATCAAACCTCAGTTCTTTGGTTCACAGGCCTAGGCTCAATCCATTGAGCCTCACCAGCCAGGGCAATTCACAAGTTTAAAGGGCACACTGTCCTGAGTGGCGTGGTGAAATGTCGCCCCACCCCATTAATCGTCCCTTTGTGTCCAGCACATCCGCACCACACAGGACACCTACCCGCTGGGCACTTAGTTTTCAAATTGGCCGCCAAGTACCGCAGTGCCTGTGTCCAGCCAGCCCTTATTTGAGTCCGAAGCACAGGAGTAATGCTGCTGGTGATGGTCGCGCCTAAGAGAAGCTGCGGACTTCACCACGTGCAGGTGTGCACAGGAGGGAACAGGGCGGCCCTCAGTTCTGGCGCTGCCCGCGGTCTCGGGCACATACTGGGGGACGGAGTGTGTGCCTTGCAGACAAGAGCGCTGCACGGCATCTCGGATCAGGGTGACGACCAAGTTTTAGGTACAAAACTTAACCACTCTTATGGTTACACAATGCTGTGAACGTATTTAACGCCACTACATTGTAAACTGCACGTGCGTGGATGGTTAAAATAGTATTAGGTTATGTATATTTTCCCGTAAAAAAAAAATGTGAAGTTCTGGTTTGGATTTTGAACCAGAAAAAAGAGATTAGCGGGATAACTGGTTAATTTTGAATAAAATCTATAGCTTAGGCGTGGCTGGTGTGGCTCAGTGAACCGAAAGGTCACCGGTTCAATTCCTAGTCAGGGCACATGGCTGGCCAGGTCCCCAGATGAGGGCATGAGAGAAGCAACCTATCAATGTATCTCTCACATATCGATGTTCCCCTTCCTCTCTAAAAATTTTTAAAAATCTATAGCTTAGTTAATAGTATCGTACCATTATTAATTTCCCAGTTAGATCACTGTGGAGGGCTAAATAAGACGTAAGTGTTAAAGGAAGGTGTGCTTCCGATTTACACATGACGAAGGGAACTGCAGCTCCAGTTACTAAGACGGAGCCCTGGACGGCGTCACAGCTCGTCTTCCAACGTCTGGAGGCCGGGTAACCGTTTCGGAGGGCCATGGGCTCGGCAGGGGGCCGTTCACATCTATTTTTTATACTTTCATTTTTTTTTTTAGTTTTTTGTTAAATGTCATTACTCTCGTGCTTTGTAACACCATGGCATTTAAAGAATACGTAATACGTACCTAGAACCGGTTCTGTAATGTTAAGTAAAGAAATGCACCCCGGCGGAGTAAATTCTGTCTGTCCCAGGTCACATTCCAAATAGTCCACGCAGGGGATACTAAAAACGTAAAAGAAAAACCTCAGCTCGCTTCGCCACGTCAAAAGCATACAACAGACCTTAAAGGTTTGTGTGGTGCAGTCATAAGCCACCCTAGGCAGGCTCTTCGGTGGAATGCTCAGTCCATATTAAAAAAAAGGCATAAACAGAACATGTGCTGGGGTCACAGTGTCCGCTCATAATATGGTACAACTTCGTCTTTCCTCAAACTTGACCTTTAAAAGACAGCACAGCACTGGCTGGGGTGGCTCCATGCGGACTGAGTGCCAGCCTGAGAACCAAAAGGTCACCAGTTCAATCCCGGTCAGGGCACATGCCTGGTTTGTGGGCCAGGTCCCCAAGTTGGGGGCATGAGAGAGGCAACAGATCAATGTATCTCTTGCACACTGATGTTTCTCTCCCTCTCCTTCTCCCTTCCCTCCCCTCTCTAAAAATAAATAAAATCTTTAGAAACATAAAAATAAAAACAGCAGCAAAATGTATGCCTATTCTGAATCTCTGGACATGGACAAACACAGATTCTGACAGCGAGTGGCTCCCACGAGCTCAAGGACAGGCACGGCCAGTGCACCCTGAGACACCGTCCCCTCCCTCAGGGACGCAGTAAAACAGTGGATGCCATCACTCAGATGCGCAGCCTGGTCCAAAGTCGTAAATACTCTCTGCCCAAAGTCAGGAGGCATTCCCGTGTAGATTCTTAAATGAAAACTACTCTGTGCCCCGAATCTGGCAATAGGTGAACACAAGAAAAACACTCTTACCTATTTAACAACTGGTTAATCAGGTATCTATTAAATGTCGACTTTCCAACGTCCTGCGATCCACACACCAGAATCACGGGGCAGCCATCTACTTCCTCTGGAGGTGAGACAAACATCGAGCCCAGAATGAGCACCAGCTTTAGGACTCCGACCACACACGGGAATCATCTGAGGCTCTGGTGGAAAATACTCGAATCCATCAACGTGCCACTCACCACAAGAGACGTTAACTAACTCTTCCAGGGCTGCAAGGACACTCTCGGTTAAACGAAGGCCGGCTTTCTTCTTCTCCCTTCTAATGCCAACAGACCTCAGGGCGAAGTACTCGGTGTTAATCTGGAAGGTGGGACTCTGAAATCAACAATGTAAGTGTTTAGGAAAGGTGAAAACAAATGCATCTTTCTTTCCTTCAGTTCTGAATTAATACGCCTCATACGGTTGTGAGCCGCAAAAGGTAAAGTTGACCTCACCCCCCGTTTCCTGAACCTCCCAAGCCAGCCCTTCGGTAAGTAAGGCCTGTCGCCTCTCTTCCTAGTCACCTCATGTCTGTTTTCATGGTTGATGCTACTTCCTGTGCGGGACACTCCTGAGAAAAAGAAACTGTGTGGAAATTTAAAAGTGAGCACCAAAAGAAAAATGCAACAGAAGAGCGGTCACAGAGCAGGCGGGTGATCTGGAAGAGAGTCGAGGCGATACCCCAAACAAAGCGACAGGACAAAGAACTATGCAGCAGGGTCCATGAAGTCCAATGGCGCTCCAGCAGAAGCGCCAGGAAACCGTGGAGAGCGGCCTGAGAAATGGAGGAGCCTCGTCCCAGCAGAAGCAGGTGGGGCTTGGGCAGGACAAGGCCACTGGACAGGGCAAGGCCACGTGCGGAAGAGGACTGAGGAAGGGACCCCTCCAGGACCACAACTCATCAGTCCCAAGGACAAAGTCATCATAAAAGGAATGAGATGTGCCTGGCATTAGGACGTCCTGCGGCAGCTCCAGAATCTAGAAAACAATGGAGCAGGCCCTCCCTTCCCAGGTCAACGCCCACGCTTTCTCGGGCTCCTGGAGCCGGTTCTCGGGGGTGCCTCAGGCTCCCCCCTTTCTAACTACATCAGCTCCCCTGCTGTCATTATCTCCCCCGGAGGCCTTGGAACCCTCTTCTGCTGAAAGCTCCATCCATTTCCAACCTCTCTCCAACTCCAGCCTCCACATCTAAGGGGCATCGCAAAGTCGACACATCTACAGCCCCTCCTGCAGCTGCCCCATCTCCGTGAATGGCAACTCCAAGCACCCAGGTGTTCAGCCCGAAAAGCCTAGTTAGTCCTTGATTCTTCCTCGTACCTCACCATCCAGTCTGTCCAATAATCCTACGGGTCAGATTCAATTTATTGTCTCATGGGAGGCAATTATAGTAACAACTTGACTTTAGGAAATTAATAACACGGCCAGCAGAATATATAGGTGAGAAAATAGATGAGAAAAAGCAGAAATGCACTGAAATTACTCATCAGTTTAGAAAAAATTACACTATCTCAAGTTAATAAACCAAGACACAAAGAAAACCATTTACAGAAATGCCAAAAGCCGTTCCCTCAACTAGTTTGAAATGACGGCTTTTGCTGGGAAATGAAACTAGCAGGGGAGGGGAACATTTCTCAGGAAATACCTTCCTATACAGATTCCTTTGACTGTGCACATGTATGACAACCTGCACGACCTACAGCACAACCAGGCAGACTGACTTCGAGAGGAACACCCTACACAGTCGTTTAACGTGACTGTTTTGGTGAAAGTAATCGGTAAAACGCTGAATGAAAACTGGTTTACCTCTTGCAGGAAAACGTAAGAGAGCCCTGGATGGCTGGTTATGAAGTTCACGGTGGAGGTTTTCAGCCTTTCTAACATCACAATGGAGCACAGAGGGGAGAAATTCTTCATCAGCCAACATCTGTCATCTGTAGAGAGAAGATTCAACCGCCTCACTTTTCAGTGGAACAGCAATTCCACTGAACTCGGTGCCCTGTTCGACTACCACTTCCTGGGCTAAACTGCAAACTCTTTGAGGGCAGGAGTTATGTTTGAGTCTTTTTCAGGAGGCCACACTGTATAACGGGAACACACCTGGGCTGAGAAGTCAATCCAGGTTTGCCACCTACTAGCTGTGTGGCCTTGGGCAACTCTTCTCATCTGTAAAATGGTGAAAACAAGAGTTTCACTCTCAGGACCCTGGTGAGGGCTTATAGAGACAGCAGAGTTGCAATGCTAGGCCACCCAGTACAGGACTAAGAGTTTTTAGCCTCGTCACAGTACACCCTCAGTAGATCACCCAGTTCTTCTCCTTACCCCGCTTAAGATGCGCTCTGAGCAAGGTTCGGGCTTCCCTTTTCATCTCCTTCTTGCTTTTCTCCGGCATCGAGTAGTGAGCCGCATTGATAGCGAGGCGAGAGTGGGTGTAGGTGGAGAAGACATCTTGGGAAGGCTGGCCTTGGCCAATGGTAAAACCCAACACCTGCACCTGGCCATAAAGGCAAGTCACACGACAGATGCCACTAAAGGTAAAACCCTGGGGGGGGGGGGGCGGGGGAGGAAGAAAGAAAAAATAACATTACAGACTCTGTTACCAATAGCTGAAATTTTCTGAGACCTTAATTACTATTCACATATCAAAACGTGGCACATTTCTAAACAACAATACATTGTAGTAGGTGACTATCAGGCACGTGATGTTTTGGACCTAAGATCATACCCACCGGCAGCTACCGATACAGCTGGTGAATACGGACACATAGAAATCAAGGGGGTCCCATGAACCCTGCTCTGCTGTCCTCCTGGTTCTTGCCTTCAAAAGGCGCACTGCCTGCCAAGTCTCCACGTTGGTGGATTTTTTCACTTTCCTCCTGCATTGGAGGGAGACCTCCCACACTAGAATCCAAATGAAGAGTGGGAGGGGGGGCTATAACCAGGCTTCGTGGGTTCGGATCCTGGTTCTACCTCTACTGAGTTCCTTTTGGCAAGTTACCTAAGCTAAACCTCAGTTCCTTCCTCGTAAACTCATAGTAATAGCGGTAATGACCCCATGTGAGCTGGGCGTATTGAATGGGTTCATACACCCAAAACACTTAACACGCAGAGACTGGCATGAGTACGCACCATTAAAGTCCCTTTACCATTAAAGTCTCTTTCTGCGCTGAAGGTCTAGATAAGCCTCGGCAGAGACCTTCTTATCCTCTGCTCAGCACCGCCGCCAGGAGGAAGGGAGGCGGGAGAACCGCAGAGGGGACACCGCCTTCTCCCAGCATGCGACCCCCGGGGCTGCGTCCTGGCTCTCTCCTGGCGCGACTCACCTGATCCCGCGGCAGCAGCAGCAACGCGCGGCCAGGACCGGCGGGCCGCAGAGGGGGGATTGGGAGCGGCGCGGGGGCACTCGGGGCGGGTTCCTCGTCCGAAGCCCCGCTGAGAGCCGGGCTAGGGGCCCGGCTGGGGGCTGCAGTCTTGGGCCTCCGGGCCGCCGCCGCGCGCGACACCAGGCAGGTGCCGGCCCGCCAGTCCGCGCCGGTCTCCTGGGCCTGCAGCAGCCGCCGCCGCAGGCGCCTCCGGCCGCACCAGCGCAGGAGCCGGAGCCGGAGCCGGCGGCGGGGCCGACGGCTGAGGATGAGCTGGGGCCGGGTCTTGCGGGCTCGCGCCCACGTGGAACGAAAGGGACCCCTCTTCTGCATCAGCGACGAATCCGCCATGCTGGGCGCCGGCGCGGGCGGCCCCGGAAGCTCGCGAGATCTCGTCGCTCCGCCCCTCGGCCGGTCAGACGGCCGGAAGGTGAGGCCTGGGAGTCGCGGGCGCCTCGGGCGCCGGGGGCGCTGACTGCTGACCGTTCTGGAAGCGCACCGGAGACGCGGCTGTGCCCTCCAAGGCTCCCGCGGGCCTGCGGGGCCCCTGAGGTTGGCGTTTTGGCGACCACCGACCCGGCGATTTCACATTGTGGCCTGCCTTTACATTATGCAAAAGCCCACCCGGGCGCCTGCAGAGTGACAGCCAGGTCCACAACCCCGAGTCCCGGGCCACCTCTCCGGAAATCCATCCAACTGGGATAATTTTTTTCCTGGAAAAAAAAAAAAAAGTTCTAGGACAGGCGGTTTAAACAAATCCCAGCTATTTGCATACTCTCGGTTTGCATGCATTTGTCTTTGGGTTGAAGGGGACAACCCTGGATAACAAGGCAAAAACCTCGGAAGTTCCCTGTCAGAAAACTGAGGACTCAAAGACTTGTTTCATTTTATAAACTGAGGCCCATGTGAAAGGTTCTAAAACTGGCAGTGAGGCAGGAAATACTCAGGAAGGAGGAAACGCTGGAGGTGCCTCAGGGCTCAGATAAAGGACATTGATACAGGACAGAAACCCTGTCCTAAGACCTGTCCTTCCCGCTTTCTGGAAATGCGCTGAATCATGGAGTGCACCTGCGCAGAAGATCCTACTGACCCCTGCTTCATTATAATAATATTATAATAAATTAACATTGTGGGACCCCCCTTCCCGGTTAGCCAATCAAGGAAAATCATGAGAGACCATATGCGCAGTAGCTTTAAAGTAATGTACATGCGCAATAAAATTCTGCTAAAACTAGCTAAAACCTAGCTAGAAAATATCCGCCCTGTAAGAATAGAATCCCTCCAGCCCCTGAGGTCAATCTCTGCTGGGAGTTGGCCTGCTCCCACATTCTGCGGAGTGTACTATCACTTAATAAATCTGCTCTCTCTTTTTCTGCTGTAAACTCTCTGTGTGCTTGGTTCAAGTCTTTGTCCCCAATTGCCAAGAACCTGGGTACTTGTGCCCACCTGTGACAGCGGCTCTAGATAACAACCCTCCATACTCTGTCCCTCAGGGTCCCCAGAGACTGTGTGTCCCTGCCTCCCTCTGCACCCACCCCAGTCTCCCAAAATGTAAGGGTTCCCTGCCTGAGCCAGGTGAGGCGCAAGGGCTGGACTGGAAGCCACAGGATCCAGAGGAGCCAGTGAGCACTGCCAGGTTTGTATCACCCAGCCCAGTTCCTGACCACCAGCTGGAAGCCAAAGGAGAGAGCCTGGTGTCAGCAACACCTGGGTTCCAGTCCCATCCGTGTCTGTCTCGGCCGACCTGTTCGGAGGTCAAGGCTCTGCTGTGCGGGCCCAGGACTGTCTGGCCAGCATGTCATTGGGGTGGCTCACCTGGCTGTCCTACAGCTTCCCCTTTCCTGCTACTGGGCTTTCAGCTGCCCACACCCCCATCCCCACCCCCACGCCACACTTCAGCCTCCTGGAGTGCAGGCATGTCCTCTCTCCACATTGATTGTCTCCAGGACAGGCACAGACCCATAGTGACCCTCTGTGACAGGGCAGCGAAGGCTCAGCAGAACTGCCACTTCGTGGAATCCGTGCCTCCAGGGTCCTCTCCTGCCCTCCTCAGGAGGACCTTGCCGGTCTTGTCTCTGGGGTGCCCACTTGAACTCCCTCCAGTCCTCCCCTGCCTGGGCCTTCCCAGGCACTCTGGCCAGCTTCCACTCTGTAATTCATTTTGTCCTGATTATTAAAATGTTTTGTGTTACAGCTCCCTTCCAGTTACTTCCTGGCTTTGTGACGTAACTAGACAGCAAGGACTAAAGCAAGTGTAGCCTCTCCACTTTGCCATCTCCTCCCCACTTCTCCCCACTTCCAGACTCCTTGCTCTCCCAGATGACAAGTGGGGTTCTCCTTGGGGAGGGAAGTAGAGAGATGCTTCAGGAGCTTAGCGAACCTAAACTGGGTTGGTGCCTTCATTAAGTCCACAGCCCAGGCAGAGGCAAACAGGTGCTTTTCTGGTAACAACATAGTTGCTTACAGTCTGTGCAAGTCACAGATGTGGGGGGCTGGGGGGTGCTACCAGTGCTTGGCAGCAGGATGCCCTAAACATGAAGCACCCCCCACAGCTGGCCCAGGAGGAAGGTTCTGGCTCATGAGGACTGGTCCAAAGAGCTGCAGGTAGAGCCAGGGAAGAGAAGAAGATTTAGGGTGGGGAGAAACATAAAAACTGGCTTGGGATGACGAGAGGGCTGTCAGGGGCAGGAGGCACTGCGCTTCCTCCAAGTGACTTAAGGGCAGGAGTGACAGAAATGACGGAAGGCCCTTCGGAAAATCAGAGAGACTGCAAAGCAGACCAGGCTGGCACACTCTTCGGGCAGGACTGAGTCACATTCCCAGGGCGCCCCTGTTGGGGTCCAGCCAGCAGTTTCCCAAATAGGCCACGAGAAGCAAGGCCCCCGTGGCATGCGAGGGTGTGCTGGTGAGAAGCACGTGGTAAGCAGTGTGGGGCGGGCATGGTGGTTAATGTCAAGTGTCAGCCAGGCTGGGGTGTGGTGCCCAGCTGTTTGATCCAACAGCCATAGACATTGCTGTGAAGGTATTTCTGTAACGAGGTTAACATTTAAATCAGTAGACCGAGTAAAGTTGAAGACTGTAAGAGAAAAGACTAAAGTCCCCGAAAAAGGAAGGAATTCAGCCTTTGTACTCAAGATACAACATCAACTTTATGGGAATTTCCAGCCTTCCCTGCAGACTTTGGACTTGCTAGCCCCCGCAATCATGTGAGCCAATTCTGTAAGATAACCCTCTCTCTACATCCTATTGGTTCTGTTTTTCTGGAGAAGCCTGGTGAATACAGCAGGTTTCTCTGATACATACCTTTGCGAGCCTTACTTTTAATTGACTTTTTCCATTACCATTTAGTCCTTTTGTACCTCTCTCCCTGCTTTTTTTTAGTTTATTAATTTTGGAGTGAGAGAGGAAGGGAGAGAGAGAGAAACATCAGTTCATTGTTCCACTTATTCATGCAGTCATTGCTTGATTCTTCTACAGAACCTCACTGGGACTGGAAACCACAACCTTGGTATATTGGGACAGTGCTCTAACCAACTGAGCTATGGGCCAGGACCATGAGCCTTTCAATGCTAACATGCTTTTCCAGGTGGGGCCTGGTATGTGCATTTCTCCAGGTTGTCCTCCACCTCTCCGAAGGCCTGTTTTCAGGACTGCGGGTATGTGACGAAGCCCACAGGAGGTCATGGTTGTAGGGGCTGGACAGATAACCTCAGAGATTCCTTTGTCTCCCAGGCCCGGACACTTCCCAACCCTTGCCCTGGCTTTCGCCTCAGACCCAGCAGCCTCAGCAGCCATGGCTGCCACTTTTTCTGGGCCATGCACTTTTGTTGTTGAGGAGATAAACATCTCCGGGCCTGCTGTCCTGTGTCACTCTGGGATGTGAGCTGTACGATGTGTGTGCTCTGAGTCAGCTGATGTGTATGCCACTCTGAGCATGCGCTCCCTGCTGGGGACACCCCACAGCAGGATCCAAGGAAACCCTTCTCACTCTTCCCCCACAGCTGTGGTTGTGGCTGGGTCCGACCCCCAACCCCATGCTGCCGCTACTGCAGCCCTGCCGAGCCCCTCCTGGTGCCCCCGGTGAGCAGGAGCCCCAGCAGTTTGCCCGTCTCCCCTTCTGAAGTCCAGCGTGTGCTGGGCAGGTGCGCAGTCTGGCCCCTAATCTCCTGGGTGGCCGCAGCTCCTCAGTCACGTCGCAGAGGTCCCTGGCCCTGGGGATCCCTGGCCCAGTGTTCGTCTTCTGTAAGGGTTGCTTCCCCATCTTCCTGGGAAAACCCGTTCTCCTTGGAAACTTCTGCCCCCGTGGTTAGCTGTTGCCATGGCCTTGGCTTTTACCTTCTAAACTCTACCAGGTTCGTCCGTCTTCCCCGTCACCATCACCACGGCTTTAACTCACACCACCAGCCTCCCTCCTCTGACGACTCCGTCAGCCTCCTAGGGGTTCTCCCTGACTTGGTCTTGAGCCTTTTCTAACTTGTTCTTCCCTGAACGCAGGGACACATTCCTGAAACTCAAGTCTGAACATGTCACTCCTCCGCCTAAACCCTAGAGGCTCGCCATGACCACAGCTGAGGCCCCCGCCCTGCCTGGACACACCTACTCATGCTCTCCTTCTTCCTGGAATCTGACCTCCTGCCAGCCCAGTGGACGCTCCTATAGGGCCCCGAACAGACTACCCAGTTTCACTCTCTGGACAGGTTTTTTGCTCCCTCTGCTTAGCAGGCGTGACCCCTCCCCTCTGTCTACCAGGCAGAGTCCCACTCCCGTCCCAAAAGCCTCCCCTGAGGCCTGCCCCCTTTTCCATATATAACTTGTCAGCCTCATGTGTCAAGCAGTGCTATCTTTGAGAAACAGGGCGGGGACCTGTCTCCATCCTGTGTCTCCACACCAAGCACAGGACACTAAGAGGCCCTCAGTCAAGTGTGGGGCCACAGAACTTGCTGGACCTAACCCCTACAGATCAGGTATGAGGCCACAGGCATGAGGATGACTGGGAGGTGGCAGCACCCTCTTTTCTGTGCATCGTTCTCAGTTACATGCACCAGGTGGAGATCATGGTGCTGCTGTTACAGAGTTTTGAGTGGGTGTGTATGTGTATCTCACTGGTGAGCAGCGACAGTAACTGCGGGCAGCTGGGGGGTGCAGGTGCTAGAGGGCTGAGACACCAGAGGGGTATCTGCCTCACCTTCAAGGCCATTGTGTCCTTCTCTGCCCGGCCAGGCAGCCAGAGGATGCAGAGCACGATCCTCTGCCTGGCCTGAATGAGGACCACCATCATGGTCATTTTCTTCAGTAGGCAGCTAGACAGACTGTTCTCTGAGTCTGTGGTGCTGGCCACCCTGAGAGCCAAAGTGGGGATCGCCCCAGAAAACTGGGCCATTCCACGCACATCAAGGTGTCTGGGATCAGGAGCACCTGCACGATGCTGGGTGTGGCCCTCTGGCTGAGGCTTGTCCCCGACCTGAAGGGATTTGACAGACAACAGGGCCCAGAAGGCATGTCCCAGGGGCTCCTGGGGAAGCCCCAACCAGTGTTGCAGAGAGTGCTGGGCTTTCATGGCACCGAAGATGCCCATGCCTTGAGCATTCTCTGTGAGCTCCACCCACAACTTATACCGGACAACTTGTATGTCCCGGTAGCTCATGGCCTCCACCAGCTCCTGGGCTGTGCCTGTAAAGCTCGCTCCAGAGACTGAGTCTATCCCTGGCAGGTAAAGCTTTCCAGCTCCTGGCACCCATATCAGGGTGCTTTCCTGAGGAAAGCAGGGGCCACTCCTTGGCCAGCCTAGGTGCTGGGGGTGGGGGACCAAGGCAACCAAGTAGAAAGCTGATCCCTTCTCTTAGGGTTTTCTTCCCTAAACCTTGGCCCCATTTTAAGCCCTGGAATCAGGGCTAGAAATACCTGTGAAAGGTCCTTTGTTAGAAGCCTCCCCTCAATCAGGAGGCTGGTTGAGGGTCGGTGGGCACCCTAGGATGGGAGGGGGCTCTCGGAAAGGGTTCAGAACTTCCAGGCGGGCTGAAGCTGCCAGACAGGACCCAGCAAAGCCCCAGAAACTTGCTCCCTGAGCTATCAGGGTCTGGGAAGGTCAAGGAGGGTCAAGGAGGTACATACAGTCTGTGTCATCATGTCACGCCACCATCACTTTCTACTTCAGCTTCTGGAGCAGACCCGCAAGGTGGACTTCCCTCTGCATGAGGACACTGTGACACTTAATGACAATGTCCTTAAATTGTCATTGCACAATCCCCTCTGCAGCCACGACATAACTGCCCTGGACTGGAGTGGCCCCAGGTGGATCTTCACAAGGTCACTGACTCCTCCATGTGGCTTCCAGTCTGGCTGGACATAAATAAGACCAAACCCAGCCCTGGCTGCTGTGGATCAGTGGATTGAGCACTGGACTGTGAACCAACAGGTCCCTGGTTCAATCCCAGTCAGGGCACATGCCTGGGTTGCAGGCCAGGTTCCCAGTGAGCAGCACACTAGAAGCAACCACACACTGATATTTCTCTCCCTCTCTTTCCCCCCTCCCTTCCCCTCTCTAAAAATAAATAAATAAAATATTTAGGAAAAAAAAAAAGACCAAACCCAGTGGCATGGAAAGGACAGCCAGCTAATGAGGACGTGTACTCACAAGTGATTGCCTTAGGGGTGGCCCTGGGCCTGGGGGCCATACTGACACAGCTCATGTGGGCAGGAGGGGCTCCCAGGTCCCAGGCCGCCATAGCTGTACCGGCCCTGCCAGGGAAACTGCACAGGCTACGAGAAAGATGCCCAGTTACTGTTGGTTCATACAAACAAGGGTCTTGCCCTGTGAGTGAGTCAGGGGTGTGGATGCACAGATTCTGTTTTCCATTCCACGTATGAGTTGGGATCCTCCGTGCCGTTACAGAACAACTGGGGCTTCTCGCAGGTGTCTATGTCTTTGTGCTCCAAAGACTGTCTTGAAGGGGGCCAGTGAGTGATTGTGGGCTTGCATGGCTATTGCTTTGAGCGTATGCCCTGCGAAGCCGGGATCTTCCTCAACAAGAGCGGTGGGAGCCCAAGTGAACGGGCGAATGACTTACACAGCAGGTGAAGGGACATCCCTGGGGTGACACGCGTGCACACCTGACCCCAGAACCAGGGCTCCAGTCACTTTGCTCCCAGGTGGATATAGTTTGGAGGACATCGGCCCAGACCATTCTGATCAAGCAAAAAGAAACAACCAGTTGAAAGCTTCAGGCCAACCTCGCCCTTTCTTTATTAGACAGCTTCCAACCAACTGCCACAGATGCAGTCTTATTTTAAATTTAACTTCTTTATCCAAATGGACATAACTATGTTCTCATATTACCTTCCCAGGCTATACCTCTGTTGTCCATGCCAATAGACAGCTAGATACTAGATTCAAGACACTAGACAGCTAGTACCTTGAAACAAAACCTGGCCGGAATGCATACACTAGCATGTCTGCAGCAGAACAAGAAGAACATAAGCCACCCAGAGATGTAAGGCCAAGGTCAGAGAGCAGATTGAGGTAACTAGGGCTCAGCTCAGAGCTGGATTCCAGGGGCCACATGATTTCCTTCTACTAGCCCTGTGGGAATGCGTCTCTTCTGTCCTCCAGAGTCAATTCGGAGAAAACACAGAGTGGGAGCTCAAAAAGGTGGATTTACTCAGTTCAAATGCTGGGAGAGAGGTGCAAATGGCTTCTTTGGGGCTGCGTGCTCCCATTCATCACAGTTTCATTGGCCTGTGAGCAGAGCTATTAGGGTAAGGCCCTTCCTAGGGACCTCTCAGTTTCTCATTCTTGGCTTGGGAAATGTGAGCACACGGGAGAGCCCAGTCCTGACTCCCGGCTATCAATAAAGAGATGACCTGTACGTCTTGGTTGCGCTTCCCGACTGGGCGAGGGTGGAACACTACCTCTTCAACCCTGAAAGGATGGCGGCGAACAAACCACGAACCTCAGCGAGGAGCCGGAGGAGAACGAGGGTCCCAACTTGGCGTTGCTAGGCAACCCCGGAAGGCGGGCCCAATGCAGAGAAATGGTTTGCCCCGCCTCTTTCACACCCCATTGGCCATTTTCCTCTTGGTCCCGCCCTCACACTGGCACTTGGAGCCATGCGCCTTAGAATTGCTCCGCCCCGTCGGGCGCTCCATGACGTCCTGCAGACGCGCCCAGACGTTACGTCCGGCGGCGGCGACCATAGCGTCTCCGTACAGTGTCCCGGGCACGTACAGTCCGAGCAGTTAGTCGGTGGGGCTGCGGAGTGGACGCTGCCTGGAACCAGTGGGGCCGCAGCGGGCAGGACTGGCGCGGGTGAGAAGGGCGCGAGAGAGGGAAGGGCTGTCGCCGCGGTGAGCGCTGACGGAGTTTGACTGCAGCCGCTTTTCTCACTGCCGCTGTGGATTTGTAGGCGCGGCATGGGCTTCACTCACCTGTCCGCAGCCACCGCCCTCTCCTACCATGGGTCCTCTCTCTTTGACAGGCCTATCAGTTCGTGATGATCCCCTGCCTCTTTCCCCAAACTTTGTTCTTTCCATCTGCTCCCCTTGGTGAACCTGTCCTATCTCCCGCCAAGCCATGCAACCTCCCCCCACCTAGTTCCCTTCCTTGCGCCCCTGCCACCCACTCGCTGGCCAACTGGATTGTGGACTGCTCACCAGACCCCCGTCCCCGGGAGGCTTTGCTTCTGTTTCTGTCTCAGCATGCACACTCTAATTTCTATCTGAGCCCTCGTCGTGGTCCATGTGACTGAGTAGAGGTCACCTCTCTTTTCCCCGGGCTGGCCAGGGTGTCACTTATGCCTTCCTCTCCTCCAGCCAGACCATGGACGGCTCCTTCATCCAGCACAGTGTGAGGGTCCTGCAGGAGCTCAACAAGCAGCGGGAGAAGGGCCAGTACTGCGATGCTACCCTGGACGTAGGAGGCCTGGTGTTCAAGGCGCACTGGAGTGTCCTTGCCTGCTGCAGCCACTTCTTCCAGAGCCTCTATGGCGATGGCTCAGGGGGCAGTGTGGTCCTCCCTGCTGGCTTCGCTGAGATTTTTGGTCTCTTGTTGGACTTTTTCTACACTGGCCACCTCGCCCTCACGTCGGGAAACAGGGATCAGGTGCTCCTGGCAGCCAGGGAGCTGCGAGTACCAGAGGCCGTTGAGCTGTGCCAGAGCTTTAGACCCAAAACCTCGGTGGGACAGGCACCTGGTGGCCAGAGTGGACTGGGGAAGCCTGTCCCCCAGGGTGTGAACAGCCACCTCAAGGAGCTGGCGGACTTGGAGGGGGAGGAAGTTTCAAGGGCTGTGGGTCACGTGCCCAGAGATCCGGAGCTCAGTGGCAGTCACAGCCCACAGAGGCCCCAGCTTGGCCTCCCTGCTCAGATGGAGAGCCCCTCCTTCCTGCGTGGGAAGCTCAAGCAGGCCCTGAAGCTTTGTGCCCCAGATGACAAGGAACCTGAGGACTGCAAAGTGCCCCCAAGGCCCTTCGAGGCTGAAGGTGCCCAGCTGCAGGGCAGGAGTAATGAGGTGCTGTGCCCAGGGTGCTGGGAATGGGGAGGCGGGCATAACGGGGAGAGAGACATTTTTCTGGCATGAGCCAGACCCCTAGGTAGAACATGTGTTATGAGGGTTTGAGATAGGCTTTAGCCAAATGGAGGAAACCCACTCTGTTCTGCATTCTCAGGCTGACTTCTGCAGGTCTCAGCTGTCTGCAGCTGCCAGCGGCTTGGGGTGGAATGGGCAGCATCAGGGTTGCAGTGTTTCCCCAGAGTAGTGAGATCCAGCCAGACTTCCAGTTCCTGACAGATAGCCACTGTCCTCTGAATGCAAGGTTCCGAGGCCGTCTGCCCTGGGATCCTGCAGGGAACAGTACAGACACGAAGACCCATCTTGGATGTACTGGGGTTGGGCCTTGGGATGGGCCCAGATGGAGCTGGCCGCTCTGTAGATCCCCCCAGCAACCCTGCTGATGAATTTGCTGATGAGGCCCCCTCCTGCTGCCTCTGCTCTAGTGGGAAGTGGTGGTTCAAGTCGAGGACGACAGGGATGGCGACTGTGTCTCTGAGATGGAGGCTCTGCCAGTCAGGAGGAAATCGAACACACTCAGAAAGCCCTGTGCTGCCGAACCAGCCCTGGGCACAGAAGCCCCAGCGGCCGAGCCCCCCGAGAACAGAAAAGGTACAGCGGTGCCAGTTGAATGCCCCACATGCCATAAAAAGTTCCTCAGCAAATACTACCTGAAAGTCCACAACAGGTAAGCGTTCTGGTTTTCTATTTGTCTTTCATGTCTCCCTTTCCCATGTTGGGGGAAGGGGCAGGTTCTCCCCACTTCTGGGCCAGGGGCCCTTCTTAGACCCACAGAGTGCTTGGTGTGGGCGCACCTCTGGTTTTCAGGGAGTGAGGACCAAGCCTCATGTCGGAACTCTTTGTCCCCTCTTCCTGTGGGCCTCTGGTTGGAGTGGATTTGTGGACACTTGTTGACAGGTTCCACTCCCTGTGGACCTTGACTCCCCCTGGCTGCACCCAGGGCGTGAGAGAGGCCTGAGACCAGGCTGTGGCCGAGCCCCAGCGTGGGCATTCCTGCAGCCTGACAGTGTGGGCTGTGGGCCGTGGGCCACCATGTCAACCTGGAGAGGCGGTAGGGCCTGGTTTCCCGGAAGTGTTAGCCTTGGGCGTCAGTGGAGCCTAAAGGACTGTTTGTTTGTCGGACGCTGTAGTGTCAAATCAGGAAACCAAGTGCCATTTGACGCTGTTGTAACTTAAATTACAATTAAATAAATTCAGTGTCTCCGACACACTAATCATCGCAAGTGCTCAGCAGCCACACGTCGCCGGCTGCCCAGTGGGAAAGCACAGGCACAGGGCATTCCATTGCTGCTGAGGGTCTCCAGGGATGGCAGCTACGTGACGGGCCTTCCAGTCCTGCCTGCCCCTCACCCAGGACATCACTGGTCCCCCATGGTGCGCTTTTCTGGCCAGGTCGGGGCTATGTACGCTTTCTCAGTGTGACACTCTGGGACGCCACAGGTGGCCGACTGGAGTTGGAGCTGAGAGCAATGGAGCCCGTTTACTCTCCCTGCTCTGGGGAGGTCCTGGTGTGGGAGGCGCCCCGGGGTGATCCGTGTCTGCCTGGTCACCCCCCAGTGTAAGGCTGCTGGGCTGGAATGGGGGCGTGTGAACATTAAGATGGAGAGACCTGGGAATGAGGCCCTCAAGGTAGGGGGCATGCCTGCTGTACCCTCCCGGGCCCGCAGGCCTTTTCTTGTGGACACTGGTGGCAGAGGAGGGTCCTGTGCAAAGCAGTGATGAGAGCCGGCTGTTCGAGGGTTCCTTTGACCGCTGAAAGATACCAGGTGGGCCTGCGAACCAAAAGATCGCGGCTCGATTCCCAGCCAGGGCACATGTCTGGGTTGCAGGCCAGTTCCCAGCAGGGGACGCATGAGAGGCAACCACACATGGATATTTCTCTCCCTCTCTCCTTCCCTTTCCCTCCAAAGATAAATAAATAAAAATCTTAAAGATAAAAAGATTCCAGGAGGCAGGTGGGAGCCGACAGGTGGGAGGTTCAGGCAGCGGCCCAGGGGCTGGTTTTCCGCACGAGGGGGGGCCGGAGGCGAGGCGGAGTGGACGGCTCTGGCCACAGTTTTGAAGGTGGAGTCCACAGAAGTTACAGGCAGATTGAATGGTTCCTCCAGTGAGTCTGGACCGGGGGGTTGTTCCTGCCTCCAAAGGGATGGGCAGAGCTCCAGGGCGGCCCCCCTCCTGCAGGCTCACCAGCCATATGGTGAGCCACTGGGAGCCAGAGGGGCACCGGGTGAGGGGCTGAGGGCGAGGCTGAAAGTCGCTCAGCCCCCACACCCCCTGTGGCTTCTCCTGGCAGGAAACACACTGGCGAGAAGCCCTTCGAGTGCCCCAAATGTGGGAAGTGCTACTTTCGGAAGGAGAACCTCCTGGAGCATGAAGCCCGGAACTGTATGAACCGCTCGGAACAGGTACTTGTGGGCTGGCCCAGGCCCCGTGGGCGGGGATGCGCGAGCCTGTGGGCCCCTGCCGTTGGGAGGGGCCCCAGGAGACTCAGATGGGACTGTTAAGAAAGCTGCAGGGTCCTTGGATGCCATCGAGTTGATCCCCTGATATTACAGGTGGGGACACAGGTCCCAAGAGTGAAAGGGACAGCCCAAGAGGCATTTTGGGTTTGCCTGCCTGGCCCCTCGGCTTTGGAGAAGGGATACCTAGATGTGTAGGGGGTGGGGGTTGCTGGAAAAGGCTACCTGGCTACTCCCTTCCCCCCACTGGCTGGCCTGTTGAGTGGGGCCAGCCAGATCCTGCCCTTGTGCAGCCTGCTGCCAGGGTGGGGGCTGCAGGTAAGGCCGTGAAGCCCCTGCCCCCAGCCTGCTGGCCCGAGAAGGGCCTGGTGTGGTGGGTTTGCAGCAGTCAGGGTCAGGGCAGGCAGGTTACGTGTTGCCCTCTCCCACCCTAGCGGCCCCCTCCTCGGGCAGACTCCTCCCAGCAGCGAGTGGAAGCCCGGGCAGAGGCCGCCGTCGCAGGCAGAGGCCTCCCCCTGACGCCGGCCCTGCTTGCCCCTCACACTGCCAGGTCTTCACATGCTCCGTGTGTCAGGAGACCTTCCGCCGGAGGATGGAGCTGCGGGTGCACATGGTGTCCCACACGGGGGAGATGCCCTACAAGGTCAGGCTCCGCCTATGCCTGGGGCTGCTTTCCACGGGTCCCTCCCACTGAGCCCTTTACTTGGGATGGTGTTGGGCACCCCCCTTGCCCGCTGCAAGGAACCCAGCCTTCCCTACCCATCCAGTGCCCCCATACCTTCAGGCTGGGCCACTGGTCCTTTCCGGGCCCTTGTTTATTTCCACGGAGGGCAGCCTTTTACCAGTGCATCCTTTACTGAGATCAGGGGGCCTCCAGCATCTCAGGCTGGGCACTGCCCTCTGGTCCCCGCAGAGCCTGGGGGTGGCTGGGGTTTTGGGGGCAGGTTGCCTCAGGTGCCTGTGGGCCTGTCTTCCAGTGCTCCTCCTGCTCCCAGCAGTTCATGCAGAAGAAGGACTTGCAGAGTCACATGATCAAACTTCACGGAGCCCCCAAGCCCCACGCTGTAAGTGCCAGGCCGTGCCAAGGGCTGGGGCCAGCACACTCTGATGCCCGGACTGGAGCTGCTCCAGAAGGGCGGCCTTGTGGTTTCTGCAATGCGAGATGTTTGGGCCGGGGATGGGGGCACTTCAGGGCAGCCTCCCCCTGACCCTGGCGCTGCTCCCTCTGCCCGGACCCCTCTCCCCTGCAGTGTCCCACCTGTGCCAAGTGCTTCCTGTCCCGGACGGAACTGCAGCTGCACGAGGCTTTCAAGCACCGTGGGGAGAAGCTGTTTGTGTGCGAGGAGTGTGGGCATCGGGCCTCGAGCCGCAATGGCCTGCAAATGCACATCAAAGCCAAGCACAGGTGGGGGTTGGCCTGTCTTCCCCCAGGGCCTGGGCCTGCGCCAGTGCCAGGCCAGCGAAGGGGCCGGGGAGTCTGTTTGCTGACACTCACACAGAACAGTTTTTTCCACCCTGAGTGTGGCACCTTCAGGGACATCGGGTGATGAGCAAGTGTGCCAGTCAGAGGTTGGGGGAGGCATTGCAGGCTAAGACGAGACTGTAGTCCCCTGGGCTGATTCTCAGTTTCTGGCGCTCCGAGCTGGACTTGGTGCCCCTGTCCTGGCGATGCCCAAGCCCTCCCTGCGCCAGGCAGCTCATCAAAGCGTAGGCCCCCCCAGCAGCTCAGGCAGGCTCTCCTCCCCTTGCTGTTTCCTTAGCTCGGGCCAGGAGGGCTCCCAGCTGCAGCAGAGTGAAGGGCGCCTCTTCCCTTGGTAATGGCCTCTGCCTATGTCCCCACCCGGACAGGAATGAGAGGCCTTTTGTCTGCGAGTTCTGCAGCCACGCCTTCACCCAGAAGGCCAACCTCAACATGCACCTGCGCACCCACACGGGTGAGAAGCCTTTCCAGTGTCACCTCTGTGGCAAGACCTTCCGCACCCAAGGTGAGGCAGGCCTGTCCCCCGCCATCCCCGTCCCCGGGCTGAGGCCCAGAGAATCGACCTTCGTCTGTCCCCACAGCCAGCCTGGACAAGCACAACCGCACCCACACTGGCGAGAGGCCCTTCAGCTGTGAGTTCTGTGAGCAGCGATTCACTGAGAAGGGGCCCCTGCTGAGGCACGTGGCCAGCCGCCACCAGGAGGGCCGGCCCCACTTCTGCCAGATCTGTGGGAAGACCTTCAAAGGTGCCTGGGCTTTCCAAGGCCCTCACCCCTCACCCTTCCAAGCCCTGGGTGGAGGAGAGGGCTGGGCCATCCCCACTTTCTGCTCACCGGGGTTGGAGGGTCTCCACTGGGCGAGGCCGCCTGCAGCCCTGGCTTCCACAGGCGCCTCCTCAGCAGGGCACCCCAGCGATCTCTCCCGTTCCCTCTCACGCGGACCGGGTGGAAGCTCCCCAGGGTCTGCACTGTAGTCTGGGGGATGTGCTGAACAGCAGTTGGAACCCTGAGGACTTGGCTCAGGGCAGCGCACTGCCCTTCCTTACCCGCCCCTGCTGGGCTCCCTTCTCCCCCCAGCGGTGGAGCAGCTGCGCGTGCACGTCAGGAGGCACAAGGGCGTGAGGAAGTTCGAGTGCACAGAGTGTGGCTACAAGTTCACCCGGCAGGTAGGCCTGGGGTCACCTCCTCCTGCCCCCTGGGCCCCTCCCAGCCCAGCCCTGAGCCCCCCTGCCCCCTAGGCCCACCTGCGGAGGCACATGGAGATCCATGACCGCGTGGAGAACTACAACCCTCGGCAGCGAAAGCTCCGGAACCTAGTCATCGAGGATGAGAAGGTGGTGGTGGTGGCACTCCAGCCCCCCGCTGAGCTGGAAGTGGGCTCGGCTGAGGTCATCGTGGAGTCCCTGGCCCAGGGCAGCCTGGCGCCCCAGCTCCCGGCCCAGAGACTGTGCGCGGAGGAGGGCTTCACAGGCCCAGGTGTGGCGGAGCCCTCACTGCTCATCGCGGCTGCCGTTCCTGAGGACCGCCGCACGTAGCCCCTACTGCCACGCGCACGCGGCTCCAGCCCCCAATAAAACCACGTGGCTTTGGACTCAGTTGTTTTATCCCCCAGGTCCCTCCAGGGGCCTGCTGCTTTCCGCCCTGCCTCCCAAGAAATGGTGCCCTGGCTGCTCCCAGCCTCTGGTCCAGGAGGCTGTCGCCCATCCCCCAGCCCTCCTCTGGTCAGGGTGCTAGGACTGGGAGCAGAGCCACACTCAGCAGTAACGTTCTGAGCAGTCCTGGGGGCCCGAGGAGGATCAGGCTCATGGGCCAGCAAGCTCTGGACCCGGTGGCTGCTGGCCTGCAGGTGAGACCCCTCCCTGGGGGTTGGGGGGTGCTGAGCATGCATGGCTTGCCTGGGAAACCTGGGGCACAGGTGAGGCCAGGCCTAGAGTGCTGACAGGTCCCCTGCTGCGATACGGGGACCCACGGGTGCTGGAGGCAGGTTGCATCCAGGTCCCTCCACAGCTCATTTGTGTTCTGTGGCCCGGGGCAAGCTCCATTTCCTCCTCTCAGTGGAACCTGGGACAGTGCGGCTCTAACAGGCGAGGATTAGGTGGATGCCAGGACCTCCCCTGGGCTGGGGGGTGCTCTGGGGATGGCTCCCCTCTGGCACCACAGCCGAGTGCCCAGCCCAGAGCAGAAGCTCTGACAGGCCAAGCCTGCAGGCTTCTTGTGACGACGCAGCCCTGGAAGTCAGTGTCGCTTCTTCCAGGGGCTACAGGTCCTCAGTGGGAGGAGTGTTGGAATTGGCACAAGTTTCCAGCTGCCCCCCCAGAGGGACAGTGGTCATAACTCCTAGAACCTGGGCCAGGCCTGACTTGAGTCCCAACACAGGAGGTCCCCAAAACACCAGCCCTGTGCTGTGCCGGAGTCCCTCATGGAGGTTGAGGAGCCCCGTCTTTCCTTTTATTCCTTGACCACTAGCTCCGAGGTAACAAGTTCAAGTGCAATGACTGACACCCAGGTTGTGAGCTGCTTGGAGCTGTTTGGCAGAAGTGTTAGCAAGGAGTCAAGTGTGGTCTCAAAGTGCTCCCTCCCTAGTACGAGCAGCCTTCCCGAGGTTCCCGGCCTCTTCTGGGCTTCTCCAGTTGAAGGGTTCTGCACCTCCCACCCTACCAAATCCCAGGATCTCCAGAGATGAGGACCAGCAGGAGGGAAGACACCTGGAGTTGGGGCTGGGTGCTGGTAGGCGGAGTCGGGGAGGCTGAAAGCGGCTTTGGAGCAGTGAGGCCCGGACTCAGCCACCAGCATTCCTCCCATCTCGGGCTTGGCCACCTCCTTCCTCCACTTTGTGCCTTGTAATGATTCAAGTCAAGAAAAGACCTGAAAAGCTTTGTCCTGGGGCCAATAGCAGGCGTCCCGGGCACTCCACACCCCCCCCCCCCAGCACAGAGGCAGCCCCAATGTTTGCGACTCAACCGGGTTTCCAAGCTGCAGCTACAGCAGAATAAAGGCAATGACACCACATGTATAGGAAACATTTTTATTTCAAAAAGTACATATTGGAGGCATCCTAAAACCTTACAGGCTTCTGGACATGGAAGCCTACAGAACAGACAAATAAATATGCAAACCCACCCACCTTCTGGAGTTGAACCTGGGTGGACACTGGAGGTGTCTCTGGGTCATAAATACACAATATGTCATAGATCAGCATTAAATACTACCACTGAACTCTCATAACTTAATTTGTCTTGTAGACAGATATAGGTGCGTGCATTCAACACACCGGCACAGTCCCATCCCCAGCTGGCCCAGCCCTCTGTCCCCAAGTCTGTGAACGGACATCAGTAAGTGGTGGAGCCTGCAACCTGGAACCTGTGTTGGGGGAGCCAGGGTGCAGACATGCCAGAGGGCTGTCCCCGATCCGGGACCCCTGCTGGAGTCTGGAGGGACTGGCTGTTGTAAGGCTGCTGCCTCCCCTTCCCGTCCTTAGTCTTTTAAACGGAAGACAGAGTCTGGGTGGTGGAGACCTGGAGAAGGACACAAACCTAGTCTGCTCCATCACCCAGACCACCGCCAGACAGTGGGGTGGTCAGGCCCATGAGGGCAGTCACAGTGAAGAACTGAGAAGAGAGAGCCCGGGACATTGGCCCCCTGTCCTGAGAGCCTCTACAGGGAGTGCCAGAGAAAGGCTGGTTTTGCAAGAAAAATGAGCGCTTGTAGCCCCGTCTCAACCACAAAACTTTATGACACCTTGCTGCCCAGGCCACGGCCATGCCTAGCTGGAAAGGGGAGGAGGGCCCAGCTCCGGAGACCACAGCACAGGCCACCTCTGCAAGTCACACCTTCTTGAGCTGCAAAGGGCTCTCTGCGGAGACAGCCCCGACGAAGAGGGCCAGGAGTCCCTGAGCCCAAGGCCCACAGCCACCCCCTGGGAGCCCCGAGATGACCTGTCAGAGTGGTCACCACATCACCCATGTGGCTGGCTCCCGCACTAACCGAGCAGGGCAGTCTCTGGCACCGAGCTTGGTGCCTAGTGCACAATCAGGGCCCCGTCAATCCCGAACAGCCCAGCCCTGCCTGCTGACTCCCTGCCACTACCAGGTCACAAGCCATCATGCCCGGCGCTTCTGCCTGCAAAGAAACTGAAGACAGCCACGCCAGAGCACAGAACATCCGCCCCTGAGAAGTGAAGTGAGGGCTGTGGAGAGGCCCAGATGGGAGCCGACTCCCCCAGGGGAACGCTCGGGCCAGGAGGGGTGAAGGCCGAGACCCAGGGGAGGGTGCCCAGGGAGCAGAGTCCCGGGGCAGGACACAGCATTGTGGGGGCCGACTCCACCTGCCCTCCAGCAGTGCCTGGAGCACAGAGGGTGCAGAGTGACCAGGTGAGCCCAAGGGATGGGAAGGGACAGCTGTGAACTGAGGCCACTCCAACAGGGTGTCCAGACCACAATGTCTAACCTGAAGTGACGACACCACACGGGAAGACCCTGAAGACCACAAGGCTTCCTCCCCAGAACCACGGCCACGTGCCCAGAAAGGGTCTTATGTGCCACCTGGTGACGCAACACTGCTAAGATGTGTCCTCCCGGTAAGGACATGTCTTCACTCAGTTCACTGGGACAGGCTGCTCGTTGAGCACCTGCTTTCAATGCACCTAACGAGGAACATGCAAACACCCTCCTCTTTGGAGGGAAGGCAAAGCAAAGCTATGCTGGGGACCTTGAGAGGACAGGACCACCCAACCCCCAAAACCGCTCCCAATCCGAGAGAAAAGTACCCCCCCACCGTGGGGCTCTCCGGGAGCTCCTGGTGCCCCGCCTCCACCCTGAAGAAAGTGCCACAGGCCTCCGTGACACATCACACCGGACCCTGCTTCCCAGTGCCCCCTTCGCTTAAGGAAAGGCCGAACTGCATTTCAAGCTCTGGAACCAACCATAAGGCTACACTGCCTGGGGCCTGCCCTAGAGAAGGCGGGATTCTGGACTGCAGGCTGGTGAGGGCACCTGCAGCTGTCTGCCTGGCCAGGCTTCAAAGGCAAGCTCAAGCTCCCAGGGCCTGCCAGGAAGGAGCGAGCCACGACCTTGCACCTGCAGGCGTTCACCCTCTTACACCCAAACGAGTTCGGAGGAGTCCTGCAGGGGGCAAGTGGAGCACAACAGACCAGCTGGTGGGCAAGGGCGGCCAGTGCCTGCCTCAGCCCAGGTCCGCTGCAGACAGCAAACACTTGGCAGATCCCTCTGGGCCCCCTTTGAGGTCCCACCGGTCCCAGTGCCCTGAGCCCCTGGGTCTCAGCTCCCCTGCTGGAAGCCCACCCCTGCGAGGAGTGTTTTGGTGTGTGACCCCCTTCATCTGGGGAAACTGTTTGCTAGGATACCCCGCACTGGACGTGAAGTTTGGGACCCCACCACAGCCATGGCCAGCCTGATTCCCAATGCCCAAGGCAGCAGGGTCTGTGGGGAGGCAGGCCTAGGCCGTTCTCCAGCTCTCAAGGGAGAACCCATTCCCCTCCGCTGGCGCTCCCGAAGTGGTCCTCCTCTCCTGAGGCGGGAGCCAGTCTGTCAGTACTGGGAGACAGATTACTGTGTGTGTGTGGTGGGGATTACCTGATGGAGCCAGAGACATGTGCTGGCAAAGCTCTTCCTGGACCCAGGGAGGGGCACTCACAACTGGTCTTGGCCCCAGCAGATGTGACTTAGGTTCTAGGCGCATAGAATGACCCAGGCATAGGACTCTGAGGCTCGCTCAGCAGCCCAAGAGCCCCTGTTCCACCTGGTGAGCCAGACCTGTCCTTGGGCATGAAGGAGGGGGTCGTCACCCCCTGAGGTGCCAGGTTACCTGCACCGAGGCCCTCCGTGGGCCAGGCCCGGGGCTAGTGCAGCTCCTGGGGGTCCTGGGGTGGCCGAGGCTGGCCCACGTCCATGTCAACGGTGCTGCTGTCGAGCTCGAAGCCACGCCCACCCAATGGCGTCTGGGGCATGAACTGGCGGAAGATGCTGACACTCCCGTGCCAGAAGGTGGGCTCCGGGAGCCGGCCCACCACGCTCCATGCCCGAGCCTCAGGATCATAGGCCTCCACCACGTCTGAGAGTTCAAACGTATTGTCATAGCCCCCCGAGACATACAGCTTCCCTCCGAGGACGGCCAGGCTGCCCCCCACGTGCACCTGTGGGTCAAGGGGGACAGGTGAGTGGAGGCTACCAGCCAGGGCACGGCAGAGCTCCCACAGCCCCTCTCCATGGAGGGGAGGGGGAGCCGTGTTCCACACACGCCCCAGGGCAGACCAAGGCCCTCGCTATGCCCCACCTAGGGACACGGGCCCCACGCCTAGTCCCTACCGTGGTGAGGGGCTACAGGGGCACTGCGTCTCCCTGTGAGTGTCCCTGGCCCTTTAAGGCAGGTACAACCATCCTTCCCACCTCACAGATGGGAAAATGGAGCTCTACGGCCGAGGGTCACAGGGCTGGGACTTGACCCGAAGCCTGGGCTCCGAGCTGTAAGGCTGGACCGCCCCATCTTTCTCATCTCAGACTTGCTGTCATGAGTGTGTGTAGCTCATGTGGGGGGAAAGCGTAACATTACATTTCTGAAGTGTGAAGATGCTAAGCTGTGATGCTATGACTTCTGACATCAGCCGTGCAGAGGCACCATGAGAGCAGGTTTGGAAATTTTAAGGAAGACAGAAGAAAAAAAAAAAAAGAAAGATGGTGGTGGATATAGGTGGAGCCGAGCTAAGGGGATCGCTCATGTGGCCAACCACTGCCCTGCTTCCTGGCTCGGCCCCCCTCTCCTCAACAGCCAGAGAGAGGGTGAGACTCGGACCCTGCAACAGTGGCAGTGTGGGTGTCCTGCTCAGAGCACACAGCAGGTGCTCAATAAATGCTTTACTCCAAGACCAGCCCCTGAGAGTTCTATGTGTGACCTTGTCCACCTGGTTGTCTGCTGGTTCACCTGTACCAGCCACACCGGGCTGAGGGCTTGTTCCACGAACTCACCAAGCACACCTCACTCTGGGGCCTTTGCATGTGTGTGCCACCCCCTCCCATCCCCCGCTGGGGCAAGCTCTTCCCCAACACGCTGTCTGCCTCGTGGCGACTCAGGCTTCCGACGTGGGCACATTTACCTGATTCATAGACGGGATCTTGTCCCATTCATTCTTCGTGGGGTTATACACATCCACCTCGGCAGAGTCGTCCCTATGGGGGATGGGGAGACAGGGGTCAGAACGAGAAGGAAGTACTCCCAGGTGCAAAGCACCGGAGAGGAGCATCCTCCAAGTTCCTTGTCTTTGGTGCCACCTGACAGCCCAGTGGCCAGTGGGACCCTATCCCTGATCTTAGGCCCCACACCTACCTCTGGTCCAGCTTCCAAAGTCAGAACCCAGCCCTGCTCCCTAAATTCAAAGATCTCACCTCCAAGGTGCTTAACCCTTCCCCTACCACCCAGTCCCCCTCTCTGTGGCCACACTGGCTACACATCCAGAACTTACCGGGGTCCTTCCCGCCCATCTCCTACCTCACCCTTTCAACCCGGACTAGGCCACCTGTGTAAGACAGCCTTTCAAAGCTGACCGGACCAGGCCAGCTCCTCACAACCATCAAACACTGCCACGTGCCCCAGAACAATCCTCCTTCACTGCCTGTACCCCCGCTATCAGCCCCCCAATCCCACTCTGTCCACTGCTGTCCTTGGCACCCAGCAGGGTAACGGCAGCTACAGGAAGGAGATGTATGTCCCCATATGGCTCTTCCCTTGGGGTCAACCTTATCTGCCAGTGCCCCGATCTCTGCGACCGAAGGCTCCAAGGCACAGCCTTGAAAAGCAAAGGCACTCCCCCAAGACAAGTAATGATCTCAGACCCGTGGGGTCCCCTCTAGAGAGAAGAGCAGTCACCGGTACCCCCAAACAAGCCTCTGTAAGGAGTGCAGAAATCTGAATTCCACACAACTTTTCACACATCATATGATGGTAGTCTCGCTTTGACTTTTCCCCTCCAGTTACTTTACAATGGAAAGGCCCACACTGTGATAAATAAGGCCAGAAGCCAGTGGGCTGCCCGCCCCAAGCAGAAACAATACAAACTGCAACCAGACAGGCCAGGCTGGACAGTGTTGCCAGCCCAACCCTCTGTGGAGACTCACCCCCCCCCCAAGAGGCCACCTTAAATGGGGACCAAGGTGGACATGGCTGGGGGAGGAGGGAGCAACTGCTTTCAGGACAAAAGCAGCGCCAGGCTGCGGAGGACACCTTCCCAACAGGAGCTGCCCCACAGGTGGCGGTCCAGGCAGGGGGTTATGTGGCTCATCAGGCACCAGAGAGCATGCGCAGGGTGGCTCCGGGACAAACACAGAAGCGCATTGGACACAGGTGTTCCCTGCACTTGAGGGAGGCAAGGTCGAGCCTCTATTGGTCACCAGAGGATAAACGGGGGTCGGGGCAGGGGGGCTTTCTTTCGCGACTGCTCACTCTCTCAGCTGGGCAGGGGAAGGGGCAGATCTGGGCCCACCTTCCCTGGCCCCCCACAGCTTAGGGAAAATCCTCACAAAGGCTAAGGAAGGGGATGGGGGGCACCCTCATGCTTCTTCCATGTGGACTGGCTTAGTAATGACATGACTGAGACCAGGAGGCACCGGGGCCTCAGGACGGCAGACTGGCCCTTGGGCACACCTGGCTCTAGGTCCACGGGAGAAAGGACATTCTCAAAGGCACTGGGACCCGGCCAAAGGGCTGACACTCTGCTGGGCTGTATTTATAGCTGTCCCCACCCCCCTGAAGACAGCTACCAGGACTCGGAAGGAGAGCTGGGGGAAGGGTCGGGCGACGTTTGTAACAGGACCCCGGCTCGGAGCAGCCCGCAGTTCCTGGCCTACGGTGATGTCTGGCCCCTCGGACACTTGCAAGTGACGCCACCTCTGTCTGAATGTGCTCAGCAGAAAGCCTGGGAAGGAGAGCTCAGATGGTAGGAGTTTGGGGGTCCTGAGAAGATAAGTGCACCCTTCTTCTGAGGCTCCCAATTCGAAGCCCCAGACCGAAAGGGGACAGAGGGACAGAGGAGAGTGCTGTTCATCCCTCCCCTTCCCTCCTGGGCTGTGCCTTAGGCAGGCTCCAGGCCAGGGAGGAGAGCAGCAGGCGGGTGCAGCAGGCCGGGGCTCCTGGCTCCCCGGATGCCCGTGGGCCCCCAGGAGGCGGCATTTGGCTCTGACCAGTCCACAAGATGGGCAGATGCTCAGTGACCCTATGGCTGCCCGCCTCCACTCCGTGCTGCCAGGGCTACAGCCTGCCCAGGGAGGCGGAAGTGCAGTGACCCACACAGGGACCTGGACGGATGTCCTCGCTTCAGACCTCGTACCACCCCTTGAAGCCTGTGGCTGGAAGTCCCCTACCCCCCAGCCTGTTCTGCTGTCCATGAGACAGGGACAACGGTCATGGAGGCCAGCAATGAAAATGCCCAGGATGCAGGTGACGCAGCATTTGGCCCGTCCAGGGCCCAGTGTGAGCTGACTATTGTCATCACCCCACAGGTGGCTTTGGGGCCTGCTCAGTACCAGCTCCCTCCCTGGTCCACAGTGGCTGTGGGACTGGACAACAGCATTTGTCGGACAAGACTCATGGGCCCCCTCAAGTGCCAGGCCCGGCGGGGAGGGAATGGACACACCAGCGTTGCTTTAAACAGAGTAGGTAGGGCTGATCCAGCCACCTGGCCTCTCGTACCTGGAGGCAGGGCCCCCCAACCCCTGGCCTGAGTTTGGTGGGCACTCTGTGAGGTGGGCAAAGGGTCCCTCTGCAGCAGCCACACCTCCCCCAAAGACCTGAGAGTCCAGAAAAGGTCTCCTCTGGTCTTTTCCAGGTTCCGAGCCCCTGGGAGAGGACTAGATCCTGTTCAACAACAAAGGCCGTGTGCCAGCCGCCAGCGCCTCAGGAGGTCCTCCAGGTGCAAGTCCAGCCAAAGTGGTACATTTTACTTAGTGTCTAGGAAAACTCTTGGAAAGGACCTGACCCCACTACACTTGGGATCCCCTGATTAAGAAAACCTAGAAGCCCACAGAGAGCACTCTGAGAACTAGCAGGACAAAGACCCAGGTGAGCCATGGGCTGCTCGTCCGTGAACGGAAGAACAGAGCTGGTGTGCTTGGCACGAGGGCCTGGTTAGGAAGATCACTTGGTAGCTGTGGCCCCTGGGGACTCACCTGATGAAGTACATGAGTCCGTTCAGAGTCACTGTCTTGGGGGCAAAGGACCAGGGTGGGAGCTGGCCGCAGTCCACCAGCGACCAGAGATCGGTATCCGGGTGGTAGCACTGCATCACCATCGTCTCCTTGCCGGCGAGGGAGCCGATGGCGTAGAGCCGACCGCGGCAGGCGGTGGTGGAGCAATTGTCCATGGGGTAGGTCATGGGCTGCAGGGCCTCCCAGGAGTCGGTAGTGTGGTCGTAGCGCTCAGTGCTGTCCGCGGCCACCACGTACAGCAGTCCGTCCAGCACAGAGGAGCTGTGGTACTCGCGGGCCTTCAGCATGGGTGCCACCTCCGTCCACTCGTTCACGCTTGAATTGTACCTCCATACGCAGTCGTACAGCCTGGAGCCGTCGGACCCACCTGCCAGGGCACGAATAGCATACAGGTCAGTCTACGCCGACCAGGAGTGGGACACCTGCCCACACCTCCCCCAAACTTCCGAGAGGGCACCTCCAGGGGAGGGATGGACCTCCAGGGGCTCTGTGCTGGGGCTAAGGCAAGGCAGATGGCTCCCCGGCCACGCTTCATGCCGTAACAACACCTCCACATAAGTCCTGACTTGGCTGGTTGGAGCATCTTCCCGCAAACCGAAAGGTCGCCAGTTTGATTCTCCACCAGGGTGCACGCCTGGGTTGCAGGTTTGGTCCCCCAGTCCATGTAGTTCCAGAGGCAACAGGTTGGCGTTTCTCTCTCTCACATTAAAGTTTCTCTCTCCCCGTTCCCTCTCTCTAAAATTAGTGAGCATGTCTGCAGTTGAGGATAAAAATTTTAAAAACTCCCAATCTCTGCAGACCAAGCAAAGGCCCTGGGGCTGCAATTCCAAGTGCAGAGCAACCCCCGTCTGGACCCCACCTAAGCCATCAAGCGCCTGAACCAGGCCAGGACCTCAGGTCTTAAGAGTCAGTCAGTTCTCTGGGGCACACAAAGCGTATGAGTGGGATGCACAAGGTCTTGTCCACCAAATCCTAGGCTTCCTGGCCACCCCCAGACCCAGGCTGTGCCAGGAACAGCTGACAAGTCTACTTCACACTGCGAGTGAGGGACCCGACACAGAAAGTAATGCCTGAGTGGCATTCTGGGCTCTGGTTCTTCATTTTGGTGCAGGTTACCCATGTGTCTCGTCTGGGAAAACTCATCAAGTCGTACAAATACAGCACACAGCAAAATCAGTAGTCTACTTTCAAGTATAATTAATGAATAATACAAAGATAAACTGTTTTTGTGTAATCACAACTAAAACCTACTTTTGCCCACCCCTGTATACGTATACTCTTCCGTCCAGGTTTCAAAAAAGAAATAAAAACAAAAAACCAAAAAAAAATCCACAATCAAAGCCCAATGGCTTGGATTGTAATTGTGAATTAAACCAGTCTGCCTGGGAGCTTGAACCCTCCCCCCCCGCCCTCGGAAGGGACCCCAAGACCCCAGGGTTGCATTCCCCACTCAGAGGACGGCGCCTCGGCAAAGCTTAGAGGACATTCCATCTGGCTCACGGTCCTGAGCTTTTTAAAGAGAGAACACAAGTTGGGTGAAGTCTGCGCTGTGGGCCTTCTTCCTTCTACGGGAGAAGCAGGTCTAAGGCAGCTGAGACCAGGCTCTCCCCAACGACATTCCCTACAGGCAGCTGTTTGGAACGACCCAGCCACCTGTCCAAGCCCATTAGCTGCTCAGCTGAGACATTTATGGAAGCGTGTGCAAAGTTGGGGACAGTGTGACTGACCAGTTTGGGAAGGGAATTCCTTGGCTAGACTTGAGGGGCAGGGGCATGGCTCCCCAACAACACAGGGCCAACCTCAGATTGCAAAGGGGCTGGTTCTAGGAGACGCCAGCAGAAGCTGGACCTAAAGCCCTCTGCCCTGGAAGCTGTCTGTCCTTAGGCTGGGACGCCTCCCGCTCGTCAGAGTCCCGAGGGAACACAGGAGCAAGTCTCAGATCTGGCTTTCTCCCGGATGTGCGGGGGGGGGGGGGGGGGGGGGCAGCCCCCAGGCGCTCTGCCTGATAACAGTCCAGCGCAGGGCCCTGAATGCACACTCAGTAGGGCTTCTTTCCTTATATAGCCGCACAGGGAACGCCCCATCTCACCCCACAGAAGCTGGCAGCCTCCTGTTGGCACCAGGATTTATCCGTAATAAAAAATGTGGGAGAAGCCCAGAACTGGGGCGGGCTGGGGCCCGCCCAGCATGACTCGGCAGTGTTTTGGGGTTTGAGCCAAGTAACTGGAAGAAAATCTCTTAGCATGTGACTATGTTTACAGTCACTGGGAAGGGAGCAGCCTAAACACCATGTGACTCACAACTTGCATCCCAAGTGCAAGCCCAAGAGAACCTAGACAGTGGTGACGAAATTCGGGCCTCTGGAGCCCCGGTGGCAGCTCGGCTGGGAGTATTCCCTGGGAGGGGAGATGGATGTGTCACAGGGCGTAAACCCCGGGCCTGTCGCTGGATCCCTTAGGAATAAGAAAAAAGCACCCATTGTGCAGGGTGAATGCCCCAGTATCTTCCGACCAGAGGGGGGAGTGGCATCTCCCTGAAAGGAGTGGGCTACCCAGGCATGCCCCCCCACAGCTCGTGAAAGAAGACGGCAGTCTGTCCCTGCTCACATAAGAGGCTCTTCTTTTACGTCCAAAGTATCGACCCTAGAACCGTACCCACTGGCCAGTTAGAGGGAAAGGGAAGTGACCGCTTGTACTCAGCTGAGGTCCCAGACTCTGCATCCTATGAGTTTCTTCGTAAGGTATACACGCTCCCTCCCGCAAGGGTGCAGGAAGCCAAACCCAGAAACCCCTGCCTGGGGGCTGGGGGTGGCCGGCCCAGATTCCTCCCGACAAGCCCACTCACCCGTCACGTAAATGTCGTTGCCAAGTGCTACGATGCTGTAACCCCCACCCAGGTGGTCAGGAAACTCGGCCAGGTAGCGCCATTGGCCCGTCTGCGGGTTGTAGCAGTCGACGGTGACCAACTCGTCGCAGTCCTGGTCACAGCCGCCCACGAGCACGAGGATCTCAGCGAGGCCGGTAGAAGGGCGCGGGCGCATTCGGGGACAGGGTCCCCGGTCGTGGCGGTCGTAACGTGCCGCCTGGAAGTCGCGCGCCTCGCGCAGGAGGCGCAAACAGGGAGGACAGCGCGCCACCAACGGCTCGGCCTCGACGTGAGCCAGCAGATAGAAGCGGCGCACGAAGGGGAGGCGCACGGCCTCCAGCAGCTGCGGCCAGTGAGCTGCGCGACGCGGCGGGTCGGCGCGCACCCAGCGCAGCGCCAGCTGGTAGGCGGCTTCCTCCTTGGGCACGCACAACCCGTCGTCGCGCAGGTAGCGCAGCAGGCGCGCCAGAGGCAGCCGTTCCAGCTGCTCGGCGCCCAACTCGCCCACGTGGCGCAAAATGAAGCGCTGCGCCGCGTTCGCCAGCCCGGCGCAGCTGAAGGCCTCGGCGAAGTCCTGCATGTCCAGGCAGTTAGCCAGGTCTAGCTGCTGCTGCAGGAAGGCGCCGCACGCCTCCTTCACCGCCGGGAACTGCAGCAGGTCGGCAGCGCGCAGCAACGGCTCGGCGTTGTCGCCGCTCACGGCCACGCGGCCAGTGTAGCTGAAGTCCAGCAGTAGCTGCAGCATGTCTGGCGGGACGCCGTGCAGGCGCACCCGCTCGGCGCGGCTCTCGCGCAAGTGCCCGGCGAACATGGCGCGGAAGTAGGGGCTGGCGGCAGCCAGCACAGCTCGGTGCGCCGGAAAGTCGCGCCCGCCCGCCGCCTCCAGGGTCACGTCCAGGAACTTGCGTTCGGCGCGGAGCTGGCTCAGGCCGCGCAGCAGGCTCAGCGCGTGCGCAGGGTCGGAGAAGGGCAGCACGGCTAGGGGCGCCGGCCGCTCCATGGCGCCTTCGCCGAGGGGCGCGGAGCAGGGAAAGCGTTACACCGGGAAAAGCCGCGGCCGGGGCCAGCGGGAGAGACGCGGCGAGTCTGGCGCAGCCGCTATAAATACCGCGGAGCGCCGCGGCCTCAGTGAGGCCGGCTGGGGGTGGGGCGCCGCCGGCACCGCCCACTTAACCCCTTCAGGCCCGGCGCCACCGCCCGGCGGAGCGAGCTACTCCACCACCCCTTGCGCTCCCGCCCCACGCTCGCGGCTGAGTCACCGCCGCCCTAGCCCGCTCCCTCCCGCCGCTTTTCGGGGGCTTCCAGCGGCCTCTCGCGGATTCCCGGGCTGGGACGCTGGGTGACAAGTGTTCTAAGGGGCGGCCCTACCGCGCGCCTGGATCCAAGGCCTTCGGGGCCTGCCCACGACCTACCCTTGCCCAGCTGCTAAACAATACCGGGTGGGGGCGAGCTCGGCGCCCGAAAGGTAGTCACCCCTTTCCCGCCAGATTTCCTAACTGCATCCTCACCGCCCCCCGCCCCGCCGCCCCTCCCAACCCGTATGGTTGTTCCGTACAAAGGCTTTAAAAAAAAAATTGTTTCGCAGGGGATGCTAATTAACCCTGTCACTGGCAAATTTTCAAACAGGATCTTTACAATTCAGGACCAACGTATGAGCAAGTATAAAGTTTTTAGGTGACTTTTTTTTTTTTTAAAGCTCATTTATAAGTGATAGGGGCCAGGTGCCAGGAATCCATTCCTCTGTGTTCCTGCAGGAGTTTCCAACTTGACTAACTCGGTCATGAACTTTCATCAGTATCCGAGGCGCAGTTTCAATTTTCGATGCACAGACTGAGCTGCCCTCCGAAGGGGGCAGGCGTGCTCTGGGTTCGATCACCCTGGTCATCAAGGCCTCCTTGCCTCCTGTCCTGGCGATGTAGGTGAGAAAGGCAGAAAACAGAGGGTAGGAGAGATTCCTAAGAATATACTATTAAGCTGGACAAAAAGCTAAAGCAGCAGCAAACAATTCCAGGAAAAATAGCAGGTTTTTGTATTCTTAGAGGGGACACTGCTCGAGGGACATTCGGTGTCCCCTCAAGAGAATGTCAGGGAGGGACATTCAGCCCAAGGTCAGATAAGGGATTGCTTTTAAAAACCAGGGAATGTGGACCTTCAGAAATGTCCTAGTCACTTGCGGGGTGACAGAAAGAGAAATCTGCCTTAAGAAAAGAATGTCTTATGATGGTTCCAAAAGACACAATACCAGGCAGGACTGCATTTTCAACATAAGCATATGCAAAAACTTCTGCACTTGGAAGCCATTTCTTTTTCCTTTAACATATGCTTTGAGTTTTAGAAGACTACTTCGCCTCCAACTCTTTCGCTTTGCAGGTGAAATCCGCGTTTGTTTTTGTTGTTATTTAATAGTTTCCCACCTCTGAGCCCTGTGGGCTTGGCAGAGACATTCCTGATGAACCATCCCACCCAGGCATGTCCCATCCTAGGTCCGCACTGGGGAGTCAGTTCCAGCCAAGTCTGCACAACCTTTACAGAGGACATCTTGTTTTCATTGCCTGTCTGAAATGAGAACTGGAAGCCTTTTCTTCTCCTGCGTCTCTCATCAGCCTGCCCTGAGCATGTATCTGGTCTAAATTTCAGCATGGGAAGCACAGGACTGAGTAAGAAAACAGTCAGGTACCCGGCGGACTGCCTGTTGCCCATAGATGGACTGTTCACACAGCTCTTTGCAGCGGCATTCCTGGGCCCAGGAGCCTGGCCAATAGCTTAGCTGCACAGGCTTTGTGACAAGAAAAGCCTGAGCAGCCAGGAAGTGGGGCTTTTGGAGTGAAAAGTACTACAGTCCCTCAGTCAGAACTCACTCACCTTGCATACATTATTACATCTCCCGGAAGTCAATAACGTTTCTCTAGCTAAGAATTGATTCCAGCTTTATGTGTTCCTAATGAGGGCTCATTTCAGCAAATCGTGTTTGAGTCTTCCTGGGAAGCTGTGAAGAACAATGTAGAAATGTACTGAAATGGAAAGATGTTCATGCTGTGGAATCAAGTGAAAGATCTGATTACCCATAATATGACCCCCTTCTGGGTTTCTGTGCTAACATAAAAACTGTGAAGGCAACATTTTCTCCAGGTGTTTAGGCTTCTTTCTGCTTGCCTCAAAGCTTCTTTAATTTTCTTTTTTTTTAAATTGTATTTATTTAATTGTTGTTCAAGTACAGTTTTCTGTTTTTTACTCCCATCCCAGCTCACCGCCTCAGTGATAACTTCCTCTTAATATACCAAACATACACTGTGTATTGAACAAATAATGCAAGTTAAAAATAACGTTAAAATATTCAGTTGTTGGGAAAAAAGTTGTATGATTAATATCTTGAACCTAAGAGGCAAGCATCGGAAACCATGTGTATGTAAGTCCATAAATGAACGTGGTTAGAAAAAGAACAGATTTAGATCTACCAGCTGTTCGGAATTGTGAATAACCTACTAACCCAGGCATGGCATGTAGTTTCTTTTTTTTTTAAATCAATCTCCTGAGTTCAAAATGGGAATGTGAGAACTTCATTCATTGTATTAGGACTATGTGGCAGGCAGGCAGCAATCGGTATTAGTTAAGGGGGTTTCAAGTTCTCAGATACCACCTAGTGCCCCAGACTGGTGGACATTGCGACTGTTCCGTGAGGAAGATGTCAACTCTCTCCAAACAAGCAATAGTTTTATTTTTTCCAGTTTTATTGAAAAATAATGTAGTAGTTTGTGGGAAAATGTATTTACAGGTTAAACCTCAGCCATGAAAGAAGTTTACCCTTTCTAAAATCATGAAAATCATCATTGCTTAAGTAACTTCTTTATGATAGTGCAATTTAACAAAGAAATGGTACCTTTTAATTTTTAAAAATTCAAACTACTTAATTTTGATATTTAAATCCTAATCTTTGGCAGATAGGACAAGAGGTGACTAATTTTAAAAGCTGTTGTTTTTTTCCTTTTCCCCTGAGAACATTTGGGACCACACACCTTAGCTTTCAGTCAAGAAGACTGCACCTTTTTTTCCTACTGTGATTTTTTTTTTAGACTGTGATTTTTTTCTGATTCTGGGCTGCTTGAGGTATGGGTTGTAATGCACCTATTGTATATAAGCCTTTTGTTTTAAGGAATTTTATAATAATGCACTTCATGGACAGAGAATACTGTATGTAAATGGTAGTGTAAGTGAAAATACATGAAGTGTTTGGCACACAGTGCTGTTAACCCTTAGTTTTCCTGTACGAACCATGAAACAAGAAATGCATTTGGTTTTTCTGTGCAGAAGTGACTTTCCTCAGTCCACAAAATGTTCAAAGTACATAATGGATAAAGTATTTATTAATGAATTATTCACACACATATATTAATACAGTAGTCAGGGCACTGAAAGTTGAAATAGTATTTTGAGGAGTTTTCATTTTTTTTCCTCTTACGGTCAAAATGGAATTGAGACTGACAGAAAACTGAGGGAAGGAAAAATCCCTAAGAATATACTGAACAAGCCCTGGCTGGTGTAGCTCAGTGGATTGAGCGCGGGCCTGTGAAGCAAAGGGTTGCTGGTTCAGTACCCAGTAAGGACACATACCTGGGTTGCAGGCCAGGTCCCCAGTAGGCAACACATGAGAAGCAATCACACATTGATGTTTCTCTCCCACTCTTTCTCCTTTCCTTCCCCTCTCTCTAAAAATAAATAAATTTAAAAAAAAGAATATACTGAACAAAAAGGTGAAACACTAGAAAAATAACTTCAGGAAAAGACAAAGAAACCTTCGGCCATGCTCGTACCCACACTCAAACACGGAGTTAGAGTGGGAGGCAGAACCCTTCCTGAATGTCCCCCCATGAATGTAGCCTCGCCAGAGAGACCGAGGAAGGTGAAGCTATATTTGGTAACCCAATTAAAATAACTACATTCTCAAGTTACTTACTGGGAAACCACGGTATTCTTAGTATTTTTAAACTTGTCACAACCTGTGCTGATGTGGGCTCTTTTCCTCCTCTTTCCTAAGTAACTATAATCATTATAACCACTTGAGAATTAGCATTCAGCAGCAGGTATAGTTTATTTCTTAAAGCAGAAAACCAAAAATCATAAAGTCCAGTAATCTGGCTACTGTGGCTGTGTTCTTGCATCAGTCATGTTCTAGATTTGGTCCCTCGAGCTCAGCAGGGCAGTGCACCTGAGAAATACACGCCACACTGAAGACGCCTAAACCTGCCACGCAGAGTCGGCTTCACCACCCACAGCTACACGTCATGGCTGAACCTCGGTCAGTTCTTAGCGATGGTCCTTTTTGGAGACGAGAGAAAGGATGGCAAGTATTAATTCTACACTTGCTCTGAAGGGCAAAATTTCGAAGGGAAAATGAAGGCAGGACAGACAAAGAAGGCCCCTCTCCTTTGAAGTTCTCCAGTCATGAGAGCAGCGGTTTTCAAGGGATAGGCGGCAAGAATTCCTAAGACCTGACATGACTACTGAGTGAAGGTCGCCAACCTGTTTTCCTTCAGACTGTCCAGCAGAAAGTGACACCAGCCAACACAATGGCTGTCCAGTGTGAACGAATCAAAATTATACTTCCTTTTTTCATTGGCAAAAAATATAGTTTTTTGGTGTGTCACAGAATTTTAGTAGTTTATCCGTGTCATGAGATGAAAAAGGTTGAAAATTGTGCCCCTGGATGGTATGGCTCAGTGGATTGAGCTCTGACCTGCGAACCAAAGAGTCACTGGTTCAATTCCTAGTCAGGGCACATGCCTGAACTGCTGGTCAGGTCCCCACTTGGAGATGCATGAGAGGGAACCACACATTGTTTTTCTCCCTCTCTTTCTCCCTCCCTTCCCCTCTGTCTAAAAATAAATAAATAAATAAAATCTTAAAAAAAAAAAAAAGGTTGAAAATTGCTGCTCTGGAGTGTCAGGCACGGAGACAAGAAGGTATAGTCTTGGTCACACCCGTGTATTAAGAACCACAGTCTACTAAGAACTTCTTCAAAAATGCCCATTAGCCCTGGCCGGCAGCTCAGCTGTGGATTCGCCAGGGTTGTGGGTTCCATCCCGTCAGGGCACACACAGCAACTGCCAGTGAATGTGTCAGAAGGTGGGGCCAACGACCATGTCTATCTTTCACATCCGTAAATAAATAACGGAAATATCTATTGGACATCTATCAAGAAAGATCACTGTCACAGGACAATCCAAGTTTGGGATTTTCCTTCTAGTGTGACTGAGTCATCCCTGAATTTTAGGCTTTTGTTTTTCTGTCATCCGGTCCATTATTATTATGAAGTTCTTTATTATTTTTTTGTAACCATTTTCTATTTATTGATTTTAGAGACAGGAGAGAGCAAGAGAAACCTCAATTTGCCGTCCCACTTATTTATGCATTCATCAGTCGATTCTTCTATGTGTCCTGACCAGGGATCGAACCCTCAACTTTGGTGTATCGGGGCAACACTCTAACCAACTGAATTACCTGGCCAGGGTCAGCATTTCAGTTTTTTAATAGATGATGGGTGTTAATGATTATATTGTGAAAAGTCATATCATGTCATATCATAGGGAATAATGATGATCAGTTAAAAAATCCCTTTTTTTTCCTTCGGATTCCACCTCTAATAATTATTCTTTGATATTTATACCTTTAAACCACCAACAGGATAATATCTTTTTTATCCCTTTCTTACTCAGGCAAACCGAGTGGCTGCTACTGAATCTGGCCCTGAGCAACACTGGCTGCACTCAGGACACTGTCCAGGCCACGTTGGTCAGGAAACATTCAAATTTGGCTAAATCACCAGAAAAAGACCATGTACTCTGTTAAGAAGTTGTTAATGAAGTTTCCAAAGACCAAGTCCAATGTCTATTTTTATCTTACTAGCTTTGCAAAGCACCTCAGTCTGTTATCACAGCTGGGGAGTCTTCCAATCCTCGAAGGCACTGCTGAAATAACATTAAAAAATAACAACAGTAAACTGTCATTTATTCAGGCCGGTACTACGCTAAAACCTTTTACGGGTTAGAAAATTGAGGCTCAGAAAAATTCAGGGGTCCAGCTCAAATAACGCCCCCCTTTTTTAATTACAAAAGCATAAGCATGTAAAATAACTATCACATTCAAGCACACCACATGACATTGTACGTGAAGTTCAATTTAAAACTATATATGATTACACCCACGTTATTACGCGACCAACCACACTTCAGTAGGCGTTACTTCTGCCGGACCTTGTCTGTCTAGGATAAACCCTGTCCCTTAAGCACCTAAAGAGCAACAGCTAACCCAAGTAGCCTTCACCCCCTTGGAAATAATTTTATCTTTAAGGGGTTTTTCCCACCATCACTTTGATTCAGTATATCAGAGCTTCCTTTATGATTTGAACTTAAAATGTTATGTTACTCCTCTTCAACAGTTTTTGTCTGCTGCGAAGGCACAGAATATGCGACTGGGTCATTTGCATTTTGCATATAGACTTTTTCTTTCAAAAATGTTAAAGAATGTCAGGCCTCCTTCCGGTAATTCGATCAGAGCAGCTAATCTTCAACTAGGTGTTCAGAGCCAACCAATCTTCAACATGAAGTTGCAAAGTACGCTGCGGAGCAGCACTTCAACACTGCAAACTCAATTAAATATCAATACACAAAGTCAATGGCAATTCCCAATAACTCGATCACGTTTTGGCCTCACTGTTATAATCCTTTGAGGAAGACACTCAGGAGAAATAAACAGAGAAAACAGGGACGATCCCAAAGTTAGGCGAAGAGGGAAGAAAAGCGAATTGAAGCAAACATGGTCTAAAGCCTTGATAACGCCGGGAGAGATGTTCGGCTGCGGTAACCCGACACCTTAGAGTGGACCTTACAGATACCAAGAGTCTTGGTCCCGCGGTCTCGAATCCCCAGGGCAAGGAGGACCCGGCCAGAAAACCCACAGTCGCGAAAGAAAGTTCGCTCCCCCCGCCGGAAGCCGAGTCCGGAGGTGGCCTCGACGTCAGCGCCACCGCCCCCACTATCGGCCGGGCTGCGGGGACCCTGACCCCACAAAGGCGAACGAACCCTTAGTCCGCAAGGATAAAAGAGATGTGGCTGTCCCCGCACTCTGCGACCAAGGCGGTCAGCCCGGCCCCCACCCGCCCGAGGAACCCTGGCCCACCCCGCCCCCGCAGAGACCCGGGCGCCACTGCTCGCACCGCCCCTCCCCCACCTCCAAGGCAGCGCGAGCCCCCGCACTGCCCCCGCTCCAGCGATCTCCAGTCCGGAGACCAGCCTCCGCAGTCGCCGCGGCGCTCTATGGAAGTTGGAGTCCTCCAGACGGCCTTTGTGTGCCGCAGGGGCAAAGCCTGGGACCACAACTCCCACAATGCCCAGGGCCCGCTACCGCGCCACGCCCCCTCCCTATCGGCTTTCCGTTCCCCTCAGACTACATTTCCCGACAGGCCTCACGGATCTCCCGCCCTCCCTCCTGAGACACGAGCCGAACTGGGCGTCAGGTCGGGGAGCCGGTCGGGTTCCCGCTCGCCGCCGCTGCCGCCGCCACCGCCCCCCCCCCGCCCCCGCAGTGACTCTCCCGCCTCTCCCGCCGCGGGAGCTGCATCGCTAACTCTGCTCGACCGTGGAGTCGCTGGCCCGGGAGCAGAGAGTTCTGGACGCGACGCGTCGCGCCGAGCCCCCCATCACCTCTAGCCGGGGCGACCCCTCCCCGGTCCGCCCAGGTCCTAGGAGGCCGCCGGAGCCTCCAGCCCCGAGAGACTCCACGGTTCGGTGGCGGCATTCCGGCCCCGGCACTCCCACAGCCGCCGCCCCCCACCCTGAACATGGACTCCGACTCCTGCGCCGCCGCCTTCCACCCTGAGGTGAGTGAGACCTGCTCTCGGTTCGCCCCCAACCACCCCCATCCTTCTCCTTCGTTCCCGGGAGCCGGACCCCCGCTATCGAGCTCCACCTTCCCCTCCCCCAGCTTTTCGTCGTCGCCCCCCCTCCGTGCCCAACCCCGCCCCCCACTGGGGCCCGCGCCCGGTTCTCCCTGCCGGCCCCTGCTTCGGCGTCTCTTCCAGGGGCGTCAGCGCCGACCCTTCCCGGGCCTTGGTAGCCTCGGGACCTGTCCTTGCTCCCGTCTCCGCCCCGCCTGCCTCACTCACCCCTTCCCCGCCCCCGGGGACTCGGACTGTGGGCCGCCGCCCCGCGCTCTCGCTGCTCGGAGGAATCCCCCCGCCCCCCTCCAGGAGGGGTTCGCGGCCCCCTTCGGACGTAGACTCTGCTCGGCGCGCCCCCGCCGGCTTCCCTAATCCCCAGGCCCTGTGGCCCGCGCCCCGCCCCCTGACTCCCGCGCGGCCCCCGCCCCTCCGGCTCGGGGGAGCCTTGTCTTTCGGGGTTCTCACCAGAGCCGGGGCCCCAGCCGAGTCCCCCCCCTTTTCGAGCGCTCTCATCCCCCTCTGGGGCCCCCGCCCCCCGCCCGCGGGATTTGCTCGCCCCGCCTCCCATTCCTCCTTCCGGGGATCGGCTCTCGGTTCTCCCGGTTGGCGCCCCTGGCGCGGTCCCCTCTCCCCGCTCGAGGCCCGGGGTTTGGGATGCGGGTCGGGCTGCGGGAGGCTGTGTTGGGTATCTCCCGCCAAGCTGACGTCTCCGGGGTTCCCTGGCTCTACCAGCCCCGGACCCCTATCTTGCCGGCTTCTCGCGCCCCCTCCCCCGCGGGAAGGGCCCCGCACCTTCCGGGGCCGAATGTCGGCGGGGGGCGGCTTCCGCGGGAGGGTGGGAGGGGGCCGCACCGCCATCTGCTTTTCCTAAAGTCGGCGGGGCGGGCTGGCGGGCGGGGCGGACAGGGTGGGGGCGGTGCACGTCCCCCGCCCCGCGCCGGAGGGCGCTGCCGCCTGCCGCACGGCGTCCCGGCCCCTGACCCACTTCCCCGCCGAAATAGTTGTTCTTCCCCAGAGTTTGAGGGCCAAGGGCTGCGGCCCTCCCACCGCAGCTGGAGGGAGGGCGGTCAGTGGTTCCTGGGGTGGGGGAGAGGCAGGATCTCCTGGCTTCCTGCACCGGGTCCCGAGCTGAGCCTGTGCTCCGATAATTTGCACGCCTCTCCGGGTCCGGTGGTCGAGGGGTGGGGGGAGAAGGTGGTTTGAAGGAACCAAGTTGAAAAAATACGGAGTGGCGCTCTTGGAAAGAAGCCTGCAGGCATCACAGTCGTGCAGCGCCGCTTTCTCGGCCCTGCCCTGGGATGGGGTATGCTCAGGAGTCCACTCCCAATCCCCACCCCACCCCCCCTTCACCTTAACGAGGCACCGGGCCCCTAGGCTCTGTAAATGCCAGCTCAGCAGCTAAGGATGGGGTTGGGGTGGGTGATGAAATGCTTAAAGAAAGTCTCAGTAGATATGCTAGTCAAATAAACCAGAATAAAGTGCAGTTGTTTTGCTCAGTAGGAAATAAAGGCTTTTTCTCTTTGAGTTGCTCTTTTCAGGAGAAAGTCCATTTGTGTTGAAGGTATTTCTAGGTTGAATGGGGATGCAACTCAGAAGCCAAAACTGCTAGTATTTTATCTTCAACGTGCACATAAGACTATCAGGGAAGTTTCTGGTTTATTCTCTCAGTCGAGAAACATTTGGGCGCTGCGCTCGGCCCCTGGGTGTTGGAGCAGAGGGACCAGAAGGAAGCACCTTCTCCGAGCCCCTGTGGTGGGGCCCAGGGCGCCTTCTGCTGGCAGCCTGGCTGGTGAGGGGTCAGGCTTGAAGAGCTGGAGAGGATAAGAAGTGGTTGACTTTTGAAATCACTAAATGCTTCAGTTACAGCTGCAGCAGCACTGTTTTCAAAATGGAAAATCTGTAGCGAAAAAAGTAGTTATTAGAGCTGATGGGCCTGTAGCAGCAAATAGATAATGCCAGAAAAAGCCTGTGTGTGCTAAGAAATAGGCTTCTGCACAAGCTTTTATGTCCTAACCAGCTTCCCAGTATTCTTGGCATAACGTCTTGACACCCCCACTGGCAGCCTTCTGAACATGGTGCTGTTTCTTGACCCGAACCTCCCTTGTTGGAGTGTTTGTAAATCTCGCGGCGTGTTTTTGAGTGGCTGGCAGTAACACAAGCTCAAGCTTGCCTCGTTTGTCTCTGCGGTTCCACCTGCAAGTGTCTGCTTTCAAACACGCCCCTTTCTGGTCTGCTGACAGGAGTACTCCCCCGGCTACAAGAGGCGCAGGACCGTGGAGGACTTCAACAAATTCTGCACCTTTGTCTTGGCCTACGCGGGCTACATCCCTTACCCGAAGGAGGTAATCAGTCTTCAGCACTCGCAGGCCCTTCCTTGCTGGTGGGGAGACCCGGCGTCCGGCAAGGAGGCCGTGGGGAAGGGGTTGCTCGGGAGGACTTCAGACCGTAGTTGGGCAGAAATCTTTCTTGGGCACTTAGACCAGCCTGGGAAATGGTTCCTCAGATTCTGGTGGGAAATAAAATTAAAGCTTGTTTAGAAATGAATAGTAAGCTTTCAAAGTTTGCTTCAAAATTATTATTTGTTATCTGCCTGCTCTTCAAACATTTTTATTTTCCAGTTACAGTTTACATTCAGTGTGATTTTTTATTAGTTGCAGCATGGTGGTCAGACAGTCGCACACCTTGTAAAGTGTGGCTCCCACTGTTGCCAAGTGCCCCCTGGCACCATGCAGTGTTCCCGCAGCGTTAGTGCCCATGGTCCCTGTTCCGCCTGCGCTCTGTAGCGGGTGATTACTGAGTGCTGTCTACAGCCAGCCACTGTTTTTGGCATTTATAATGGGATTAGGTAGGTGATACTGTTTGTCCCCATTTAAAGACTGTTCGTTTATTTTTTAGAGAAAGGGGAAGGGAGGAAGAAAGAGGGAGAGAAACATCCATGTGTGGTTTCCTCTCACGTGCCTCGAGGCACATGCCCTGACTGGGAATTGAACCTGTGACCTTCTGGTTTGCAGGCCAGCACTCAATCCATTGAGCCACAACTGGGGCTGTTTGTTCCCATTTTAAAACTGAGGACCTGGGCACAGATAGGGAGGTCCTTGCCCTGGGTCACAGGCTAATGAGTGGTGGAGCCGGGGTTCAACCAGATGGCTACCTGTCTGGTGAGCAGCCTCCTGGTTGCTGTGCATACGACGTTACAGAATCTGCAGGGACCGTGGCCAAAATCTCTTAGTTCCGGAGGTTTGTCCCCCCCCCCCCCTTCATTCATTCAGCCAAGACATAGGCAGAACTGTGGACCAGCACCACCTCGGTCCTCAAGCCTCAGAGGCCTCATTCGCTCTGACTTGAGGCTAAAAAGAAAGGGCCCGATACCTGCGGGGGCCACGTGCCAGCCAGCCTCTGGGTGGGCCGTGCCTGCTCCGTGCCACGTGCCATGCAGACCGTTGTCGCTGGAAGTAAAGCACTTGGGGTCTGGAGGGGCCGGACTGTGGCATATTCACTGCTTTAGGGCAACAATTGCCTGCTTTGATTTTTGCAATATTTTGGGGTAGTTCTAGTTTTTAAAAAAGTATGGGGAAATTCTCAAAACTAATTTAAGTTAAAAAACCTATCTTGTGAGAGGACAAACGGAGGGAGATGTTACAGGGTTGGAGAGTGTGTCTTCACTCCTTTCATGGAGATTGACTGAGCGTCAGCCAGGTTCCAGGGGGTTCAGTCAGGGCAGGAGGTCAGCTCTCAGGGGTTCACCTTCTATCTGGAAGGTCGCACTGTCCTAAATGCCGCTATTCCTAAAGAGTGATGCTGACGAGAGGTGGGTGGGAGGCTTAGGTTCTGAGAGCGCATGTCTGCAGGCCTGGCGCGGCCAGGGAAGTTCTGCTTGGGGCCAGCTCTTGTTGCTGGGGACTGGGCGAATTCATGGGCACCCGCCACCTGTGTCTCTGCCCTTTCAGGAACTCCCTTTGCGGAGCAGCCCGAGCCCTGCCAACAGCACGGCAGGCACCATTGACAGCGATGGCTGGGAGGCCGGCTTCACTGACATCTCGTCCACGGTGCCCTTGCCAGTCTCCGATCGCTGCTTCGGCCACCTGCAGCCCACCCTCCTTCAGCGAGCCAAGCCCAGTAACTTCCTGCTGGACAGAAAGAAGACCGACAAGCTGAAGAAAAAGAAGAAGAGGAAGCGAAGAGACAGCGACGTGCCCGTGAAGGAGGGGTACATGGGCAGTCTGCTGAAGCTGGAAGCCCCCGATCCGTATGTGGAGACCCCCACAAGTCCCGCCTTGCAGGCTATCCCCCAGGCCCCTGGCGATTCCTGCTCAGGCTGGGACTCCGATACTCCTTCGAGCGGGTCCTGTGCCGCCGTGTCACCCGATCAGGTCAAAGAAATAAAGACTGAAGGCAAGCGGACTATCGTCCGGCAGGGAAAGCAGGTGGTGTTCCGTGACGAGGACAGCACCGGCAATGACGAGGACATAATGGTGGATTCAGGTGAGGGGGCCAGAAGGACGGCCACACTGCTGGCTGGTGGGCAGAAGGGAGGGATTGTAAGCAGGAGTCTGGGAGCTGTCCCTTCCTCAGAGTGTGTCCACCGCCTCCAAGGAGAAAGGTGCAAGAAGGTGGATGCCGACATGTTGGGGAGTGGGGGAATTGCAGCTGGAGGTGGCTGAGCTTCCAAGACAGGCCTTGAAATGTAAGAACAGTGTAGCCCCTAAGGACGCATACCATGGTGAGCCGTGGGACCACAGATTTTGATGTCCTGTGCACTTACTATGTGAGGTTTGAGGGGGGGAAGCAGAGCTACTGCTCCCTTAAGTGAACGTTCAAAACACCTTCAGTTACTGAGAATCAGCTGCTTTGCTCCACTGGAGCTCCACTTTGCTGATGGTGAGGAGTCCCCAGTGCAGGGGGGTCTCGAGGTGTTTGTCCTTCCCCTTATGTGTTTCTTTCCCTTCAGACGATGACTCGTGGGACCTCGTCACCTGCTTCTGCATGAAGCCATTTGCCGGACGCCCGATGATAGAGTGTAATGAGTGCCATACTTGGATTCACCTGTCCTGTGCCAAAATCCGGAAATCCAATGTTCCGGAAGTGTTTGTCTGCCAAAAGTGCCGGGACTCCAAGTTCGACATCCGCCGTTCCAACCGTTCCCGAATGGGCTCTCGGAAGCTTTTTCTGGACTGACTGCTGGTGAGGGAGGAGACTGTGGGTGAAGAATCAGTCGGAAGGGATGGTGGGCTTTCTGGCCCTTTTCTAAGTTGAGCACAGAACTCTCAGCTCTGGTGCAGGCAGACCCCTGCCATTCAGGTGCCTAAGCAAAAGGACAGGCTGTCCAAGGTATAATCTGTACATAGCCGGTAACTGAATAAAGTCCTTGCAGGCCAAAGCTGCTGCTAGAGCTGCGTTCTCTGCACTGGAGGTGGGCTCAGCACTCCAGTGCAGTGGGTTTGCTTCAGCTGAAGAGGAAGGTCCATGGTAGTTGTGAATTCTTGCTATTGTTAACAAACTCCCACCAATTAGAACAAGTGCTGTTACTCCTGCTTCCGCTGTGTTGGGGACAAATGTTTCCTCGGCCTGTTAACAAACAGCCATACGTGCAAAGTTTTTCTCAAGTGTAAGTCTTTGACCGTAAATGTCTGTACAGCAACCATCAAAGCTGCCCCTCCCTCAGTGGCTCGCTCCCCCCACTGCCTCGTTGCTGCCTCTGTCCCCAGGGGCTGCCTGCCGGACTCCTGTCTCCCTCTGAGAGGAGCTGGGGGTGTGGGCAAGCTAGTGATCCTTAGGTTTCCTTCTGTTCATTAAAAAGGATAGTGTGTGGCCGCTTTGCTGTAGAAAGAGGGTTGCTTGGGGGGTTGAAGTGGCCCATGTTTGTAACTCAGTTTCCTGTTTTGCACGATGTAAAAATCCTGTCTATTTGCACGATGTAGCCAAAAGTATTGGCAGATTTTTGCCTGGGCGCCCTTTTTCTCCACTTGGCCTATGGGAGCCTGTTGGGTGCCCAGGCAAGGGGGCACTTGGGGTCGTTCCTCATCTCTTCCCTCACCTTGTTCCAGTAGCAGCATAAAAGTTAGGCAGACGCTCGGGAATGGTTCCTGTGCTTAATGGGTAAAGGAAAATGGGAGACGGGCCTCTCCTCCGGTGATTCTTAGTGTCCCCTAGTACAGGTTGGCCTGCTGGTTTCACAGGCCAAGGTTAGGACCCGAAGCCTTTTTGGTGAGTGAGATGGTAACACTGGCCTCCAATGACATACCATTGAACTGTGCAGAGTTGCTCGCCTCTGGACTGGGGAGACCCCGAGGGCCTAGCTCTGGAGAGGCCTGGGAGTCTGTCCGGGAGCCTTGCCAGGCTCTGCCCCAGTGAGCCCTGGGGCACTGGTGGTTCTGGGGCTCCAAGGGGGAGGGCTTCAGCTTTGTCCCTGACGGTGTTTTAGCAGTTCCAATACGTGTTCTCAGAAATTTTTTTTTAATGGATGGGTGTGTTTTCATGAACATTGTTTCTTGTAAAAGCATGAAAAGGGAAGAATGCCCAAGTTGCTCATGTGTGTTTACAGCAGGAGGGAGCCCAGTCTCCCTGTGGGGGGCTTCTCCACGGGGCACCCTGTGTGGGCCAGCAGGCGGGCTCCCTCTACCTTCTCTCACTGAAGCACCTGGGGTTGGAGCTGTAACTGGCTAAGCAGAGCCTGTATTTCATCCTAGTCTCATTCACGCGTGACCAGCCAACTGCCTTTTTTGTGTTTAATTCTGTTGCTTTTAATAACACAAAAATAGACGTAGCTTTTGAAACCCAGTTTACTGTAGAGACCCCCCAAGGGAGAAGCCGTGTTGTAGAAAGAAGCAGTAAGCTGGGTCAGAAACGAACTGGTCCGCACAGCTGATTCTGGCTCTGACCAGGGCTGCTGTGCGGAACTTGGGGGAGGAATTTGCCAAAGATCTGCCCCAGGACATTGTCTGTCCAGTGTCCCCACCATGAGAGTATAGCCAAAGTTCCAAAGTGGTTTTCTTCCTTTTTAAACACAGAGTTTTAAAAGTGTGTCTAAGAGTGTGTGCGGTTTTACAGCAAGCGGCCGGCGCTGGCAGTTGCTCTGTGATGTGCTCTCAGAAGGTTTGGTGCCTGGCGACCCCTGGAAGGCTCTGTCGCTCATCTCAGTTTGTTTCTTTTCCTTTTTGTTCCGACAGCTGTGTCCCTGTGGGTGGTGTCTAAGAAGTCAGGACACCTCACTTTTACCTTGGTTGAGCTGGCAGCTGCAATCAGCTTTATGCAAATTAGGCATGGCCCATCTAGGGGCTCCTGGTTGGTGGCTGATGGAGTGAGGGGAGGGAAAAGATGTCACCCCAAAAGTAAGCCCCTGTCATTGGCTTTGGCCAGGCCAGACACTTAACATCGTTTACGTGGTTCTGTGTAAAGTTTATGTGTAAAAACGAAGCTGTTTCTGTGAAACTGTATATTTTGTAAATAAAGATATTGCTACTTTGAGGTTCATGTCCACCTTCAGGTGTTTGTTCTGTACCCAAGGACAGTTGTGTTCTCCCCTCAACACCTCCCCAAACCATGATTATAAGAGAATACTTGGGAAGTTCAAGTCCGAGTTTGGTTTAGCAGGATGAGAAACACCCACAGCCCTTAATCTATTTTTCTAGTAAATTCTCCAGAAGCAAACCATTGTATGAATGGGCAGGAACAACTATCACAATTTCTTCATCAAATTGAGCTTGAACCCCACTGAGGGGTTACCCTGCTTTGTAGAAGCTGCAGCCTCTGAGGTTCTGCAGGCAGGTCTGGGGTTTCCCGGGGGGGTGCATATTCAGCCCCTTTACCCCTGGGGTTTGCAGTGCCAGAGTTTGTTCTGCCATCTGTGTCTGCATCACCCCAATCTAGGGCTGCCTAGTTCCAGCTGCCAAAATCTGCGTCTCAGCACCTAAAATTTTGAAAATACTGGCCAAGTTGGGCACTAGGCCTTTCTCTGGTTTCCAGTTGTCCAACGCTGTTTCTGGGTGTAAGTTTGGGGGACCCCAAAGCAAGGCGAAGGCACTGAGCTTCAGCCAATTGGGGCAAAACCCTGCAGTCCTTCCAAACTCTGGGCGACATGGGTGGCGGGTACAGCGCAATGAGTTGCCCAGGAGCAGAGCCAGACACTCTAGCACCTCCCGGGAGCCCCGCCCCTTCCCTCCCATAGGCCCGCCCTGCCGAATAGGCCACGCCCACCCGCACCGACCAGTCCTGCCACTGGCCTCCCTGCGCCCAAAGACCTCGCTGCCGCCATCTTTGTTAGGGGCAGCCGGGCCTTGGGTCTGGAGATGCCCAAGTCATGCGCAGCCCGGCAGTGTTGCAACCGGTACAGCAACCGCAGGAAGCAGCTCACCTTCCACCGGTGAGGGGCGGGGACACCGGGGGTCCAGGGGCTTCGCTGCTGGGCCCGTCTCGCCCGGGCCCGCGGACCCCACTGAGCCAGAGGCCTGGGGTGCTGGGTGGACTGGGACGCCAGGGTCGGTGCCCCGCTGCCTCGGAGGCAGGGTGGCCTGCAGCCCCGGGACTGGCGCAGTCAAGGGCCCAGGACCCCGCGCTGCCTCGGCCAGCCTGGGCGCACGGGAATGTGGTCGACGCTGGGCGCGCAGCCTCGCGCCAACCTGTCTTGGAAGGCCGAGGGCGGACCTGATGCGAGCTCAGGTCTATCCAGGTGGTACCTCTGCAGCCCTTGGCACCCCCTGCAGTAATTTGGGCGGTCATACTCTCCATGTCCTGGGCACTTGATGCCGCTCACAGCCGCAGCCTGGAACACCGTAGGTGTTCACTATGAAGCTGGTGCCGCCTTGGTTTGCGGTGCTTCTTGCCCATGCAGAGTTCTGAGCAGGCCCCGCCTGCGGAAGGAGGAAGGCTGGAGGGCAGGAGTGAGAACGTCCTGTGTGTGTGTGTGGGACGCTGATATGGCGGGAGTCCGTGGGTGTGGGGGAGTGGTGGTAGTGGAGCCCTGGGCACGGCCTGGCCCTTTATCAGGTAGGTCCCTGCCAGCCAGCCCGTCCTCACCTGCCCGTTTATGTTCCTTTACAGCTGGGCTCCAGAGGGCTTCTGCACTCGTTGTCTTTATTTCTATTACCATTTTCTATTTCAAAGTAAATGCTTTCCTTGAAATATAACACAGACAGGAAAGTGCACAAATCACAAGTACACAGCTCAACCAAGTTAAAGTAAATGAACACCCTGGGTGCCTGCGGGGATTCAGCCCATCAGCAGCCCCCAGGAGGCCCCCAACAGCACCCCTCTTGTTTCTCATCTTCCCACATCCCCCGGGGTAACCCACACCCACCCTGCCTTTTCTCAGGGATTGCTCTGGCCCATGTTGAATTTTTGGAATGGACTCACATGGTGCCCTTTCCTCCTGTTTTTTTTCCTCACCACTATGTTTATGTCATCAATAGAAATGTCCAACCTGTAGAGAATTTTATAGGCTTCAGATTTCTTTTATGCATGGAAACTAAGGCGGGAATGCAAGGCTTATGTGAGGGTGGGAGAGTTAACATAGATGCAGAGAGACAGTAAACAAGGCAAAGACAAACCTTTTACTCAAGAACTTACAGGCCTGGGGTGTGACTACCCAGCCTGACCTGCCTAGTTAGGAATTTATGATCAGGTCACCCTGGGAGGCTGCTTTCCATTGAACCCCCTTGTTTTTGTTCACAATTGTGAGTCATTTTTGTTTCACTCAGTGGCAGTTTATTCCTTTTAATTGCTGTGTAGTATTCTGTTGACCACACCAACCAGAATTAATTTGTTGTAGATTCGACAGGCATTTGGGTGCCCCTGTGTTTTGGCCATAGCAAACACATGGCTTGACATTTTTGCTAGCATGTTGGCCGGGATCCGTTTGTATGTTTCAGGCAGGTGCACACCTGAGGGCGGAGTTGCCTTGAATTCGCTCTCAAGCTCATTGCCATCAGACTCTTGCCCCCACCATCTCCACAAACGAGCTCTGTCACATCCCCAGTGACCCATATGATGGCAAATGCAGGGTCTCATTGCAGAATCAGGTGATCTCTGTGGCATTTGACACAACTGACTTGACCCTTTGAGACACTCACTTCTAGGACACCTCTCAGCCTTTTCCTTTTTCACAGTGTCCCTTCTCAGCCTCATTTGCTGGATCCTTGATTCAACACTAGACGCTGGAGCACTTTGGGGTGGGGGTGTGGGGGCCGTGGCAGGCACCATCCCTGCCTACACCGCTCCACAGGGCACCGACTGCACCCAGGACTTTTGTCACCTCGATGTGGCGCGGCCCCCCAACATGGCTCTCTCCAGACATGTGTCCAGCTGCCACCCAGTTCAGCATGTGGATGTGTGAAAGGCACCTCATATTTAACATCTAACATGTAAAACCGAAGTTCCCAGGTCCCAGGGCTGCCCCTCCTACTGCCTCCTTCCATTTTCATATGTGACACTTCTCTATTTCATAGCCCACAGGCAACCCTTGTCGCGTGGCTTTTGAAATACAGCCCGGATCGGCTCATTCAATCCCTCCTCCTGCTGACACTCCAGCCACCTTGTACCTTCCCGCAGCAGCCCATCCCCTTAACCCTGTCCAGAGCCTCCAGGGAGCCCCCCATCTGCCCGAGACCCACATCCTTCAGTCCCCACTCCTCTTGCTGTTTCAGCCAAAACCTGCCTCGACCACTACTCAGATGTGCCAGGCACATGCCTGTCACTAATCTCTCTTTGTTTTCTAACTGTGGCTGTTTGATTTTTAAAAATTTATTGATTTTTTTAGGGAGAGAGAAAGGGGGGAGGGAGGGGTGGAGGGAGGAAGAGAGAGGGAGAAACATTGATCTGTTGTTCATGCATCCATGCATTCGCTGGTTGATTCCTGTATGTGCCCTGACTGGGGACTGAACCGGCAGCCTGCAACCTTGGCATATCGGGACATCGTTCTAACCAACTGAGCTGCCGGGCCAGGGCTGCTCTTTCTTCTTCTTCTTTTTTTTTTTATTCTTGATTTTTAAAAAATTTAATTATTGTTCAAGTACAGTTTTCTGTCTTTTACTCCCATCCCAGCCCAGCCCCTGCTCTTCCTTCTGATACCCGCAGGGTCACGCTCCCACTCAAGGACATCTCACAGGTGGCCTTTCCTGACCTCATCCTACTCTTTATTCCTACACAGTCCTCCTCTGTCTGGCTTGCTGTCCGTCTGCCCTGTCTAGAATGTGGGCTTGATGGGGTGGGGCTGTCTTACTCCCCCCCACCTCCCCAGGACCCTGAACAGGCCCTGTACTTGGTGGGCTCCGGAGGGGACGAGTGAAGGCTTACTTGGTACGTGTAGCTTCGGAAACAGCTCTTAGGCTACGCTCATGGTCTCTTTTCCCGCTAAGGACGCCTTACCTTCCAGAAGTTGGATGCGGTTTAACAGAGGGAGGTTCCTGGATTATCCACGTTGTCCAGAATACCGTGTGATGGTGTGAAAATGCCGGGAAGCTCCGCAGTGCTGAATTCAGCCTCACTCGCTCTGCACGCTCTGGCCTTGTCCCTCAGGTTCCCGTTCAGCCGGCCCGAGCTCCTGAAGGAATGGGTGCTGAACATCGGTCGGGGCAACTTCGAGCCCAAGCAGCACACGGTCATCTGCTCAGAGCACTTCCGCCCCGAGTGCTTCAGTGCCTTTGGAAACCGCAAGAACCTGAAGCACAACGCGGTGCCCACGGTGTTCGCCTTCCAGGACGCCGCGCAGGTGAACACACTTCTGTTCTCTGCAGAGCCTGCTCACTTGGATCCACCCAGCAGCGGCGGGCGGGGGTGGTGCTGGTAGGGACGGAGGCTGCAGTGAGGGCAGCGCTGTCCAGCCTCTGGTGGGAGCCCGGCCAGCCCCGATGGCCACGACCTTCGGTTTAGGGGATCCCCAGTGTAAAGCCAATTTAGAATGAGTCATGCTTCACAACTGGGTGCTGCTGAAGCAGCAGTTGGAGAGTGTGGCAAGAGCCTGGTCCTTCCCGAGGCTCACTTTTGCCGGGTCTCAGGTGGGCTCGAGGCTGTGCAGCGAAGGCTTCCCAGCTGAAGGCAGCTCCTGAGCCTCAGACCTCGTCCTCCTCCAGGGAGTCAGCTGGGGCTCGGACACCTCTGATCGAGAAGCCAGAGGCTGTGCCACTGCCATTCAGCACGTCCCTGCTCAGGTCCCACTGTGTGCCACATGTGCTGGCTGAGAGCGCTGTCCAACCCAGGATGGTGCCGGTGCAGCGCTGGAGGGAGGGTGTGGACAGAACGGACAGGCCTGCAGTGGGGAGGGCTTTGGGTACTGCTATTGGTTTTCGGGTGAGCTCAGTGTTGGGGTGGGGCTTCAGAAGGCTCTATCTGGCTGGAAGCTGTTCAAGGGCCGCTGTCCTGGCACAGGTGAGTGTAGTTGTAGCAGCCTGAGCTGCAGGTGAGTCAGTGATGAGAGGGCTGCATGGAAGGGCTTTACAGAGCCTGTGTGCCGAGGGGAGAAGCCAGGGAGGGAACCAGGGCTACCTGAGTCCCAGGCGTTTGGCCCTGTGCACATTGAACCTGATGTCCCAGTGGAGTGGGCATGGAGTAGACGTGTCTTAGTGGGGTGGGGTGGGGTGTGCAGGGTTGGCTCAGAAGGGAGCTCATGGACCGCAGGTTGCTGCAGCCATGAGGGGGATCATATTGAATTTCATAAATCTTAGAGGTGTACAGAGTCCCAGAGTGTGGGCCCCACGGGGGGCGGGGCACCTGCTTGAACCTGGAAGGCGAAGAAGTGATGGAACGAACAGAAGGCCGGTGGACACCTGCTGCGAGTTTGATTTCATTGGGAAGAAGAGGGAGATGGTGGGACCAGGAGCCCCAGGCCGTGGGAAGGACAGGCAGCAGCTGCGAAGAAACCTGTGCGGCCTCTGCCCGCCACCTCTCCCTTGCCTAGTGATTTCTCCCAGAGATCCGTACGCAGGCAGCTGCCCCCTTTTCCAGGTCTACGTTCACGTTCACGTTCACGATTCTGCAGGCGGCCCGTTCCTCCCTCTCCTGCCCGCTGAGCTTTCTAGCACCTGCCCCGCCTGCCGTACTGTGGGTTCCCTGTTCTCGGTCTCCTTCCCGCCAGCGGCCACAAGGCCCCGGCTCCTTTCACTGCCTTGGTCCCCACACCCGAAGGCTGCCTGGTGCATTCTGGGCTTGTTTGGTTGTTTGCTGTACTTTGGAAGGCTGTTTATTTTTATTTATACGTATGTAAAATTTCATCGTGGGAGGAACGCTAATATGAGACCTATCCTCAAAATTAAAAAAAAGAAAAGCTTTTATAGATTTTTAGAGGGGAAGAGAGGGCGAGAAACATCGATTGGTTGCCTCACACACCCCCTATTGGGGGCTTGGCCCACAACCCAGGCATGTGCCCTGACTGGGAATCAAGCAGTGACCTTTTGGATCACAGGCTGGCACTCCATCCACTGAGCCGCTCCAGCCAGCTACCCTCGAACGTTTGAATGCACAGTACAGTGCTGTGAACTGTAGGCACAATAGGCAACGGGGCTCTCGAGGGTCACCGTTTTGCTTAATTGAAACTTCGTGCCCACTGTCGGCACCCCCCAAACCCCCCGTCAGCTTGTCTGTTAACACAGTCGTTTGATCACTTTGATGCGTTTGTGGCAGTGGTTTCTGGTCTTCACCTTAGTGCTTGGGGGCAGCAGGCCCTGAGTCGGGTGTTTTCTACCATATGGCTGCAGCTGTGAGCAACATTTGTGTCTAGGACAATGCCAGGCCCTGGGGTGACATTACAAATTGGGGCCTTTGGCCCAAGATTTGGGACCATCTTTGTTAGGAAGATAACAGTGGGTGGAGGTGGAGCTGGGTCCGGTTTCAAGGCCCAGTTTAACTGGATAAACCTGGGCTGAGAATGGGGACAAGTGTGAGGTTCTGGGGTGCAGGTCTCTCACACCCCAACTGGGCCAAACCTTGCGCTGCCCATCCACAGCAGCTCCGTGTCTCTTGCAGCTGGTGACGGAGGACACAGACCCGGCCACTGAGGGTGGAAACGCTGACTCTGGGAAGGAGAAGGTGAGTCTGCTGTGGTCAGTCCGCACTGGGACTAGTCTGCGCTGCGGCCAGTCCACACTGCATCCACGTCCTGTTTCCAGGTTCTCCCTGGGGAGGGGGCCAGGGATCATGGCCCAGGCAGGAAGACCGACTCTGCCATGGAAGCGCTGCAGCCGCCTCCCAGCACCGGAGCCCCTGTAGGACAGGTAAGCCCAGGCACCAAGGTGGTGTGTAGCAGGTTGGTGTTCGCAGGGGGCATTTGCCTCAAACGAAGGAAGATGGGTCCACAAACCGTGAGCACCACAGGGTGTGGCCCCAACGGCAGGCTTTCCCAGCAACAGGAAGAGCCACGGTGTGGGCAGACGTGGGTCAGGTGCGCTGCGAGATGGGACCCTGGGGCCTTCCCTCCTGCCCTTCCAGGGAAGAGCTGTGCCTCTGGCACTGCTTACCTTCTGCTCTCCTTCTGCAGGCATCGCCCCCAAGACCAGAAGCGGCCGAGGCCCCTGCGCAGAGGGCCGCCCCCCCACATCCATCTGACCACAGCTACGCCCTTTTGGACTTAAACACCTTAAAAAAGAAACTCTTTGTGGCGCTGAAGGAAAACGAAAAACTGCGGAAGCGCTTGAAGGCGCAGAGGCTGGTGATGCGGAGGATGTGCAGCCGCCTGCGAGGCCTCCAGGCTGGGCATTCGGGCCTCCAGGCTGGGCCGTGGCAAGAGCCACGGAGCTGAGCCAGGCCACTGGGCTTTCTCATCTGAGGCCCCGGAGATGAAGCCGCAGTTTGGGGGCTCTGGCTGTGAACCCTTCTGTCCTGCTGCTGAGTGGCACTGAGTGGCAGAGGCACGCCAGGCCAGGACCCCGGTGAGCCCGGTGTGGCCTCAGGTGAAGCCTGGTATCAGGCCGTGAGGGGCTGGAGCTGGGAGCCTGAGAAACCCCTGGTGCTCCAGGGGGTGACAGCCCTAGCTGTCCTCTCTCCATCAGCCAGTGTCCTCGGAACTGCAGTTGCTGGGCTAGGGTGGCACACAGTCCCCCAGTGGGGCAGCTGGGTCCCAGGAGAGTCTGGGTGGGTGGGTTGGTCCCACCCACAGCAGAGGGGGAGACAGCCAACTCTCGGGCAGCAGCAGTGGCCCCTCCACGGCCTGGACAGCTGGCTCTCTGGCTGAGACTGGCCTGTGTTCTAGGATGGCCTCTTCCTGGCTTCGTCTGATGGAACTAGGGAATAAAGCGTCTTCCTACACTGCAGGCTTCCCTCCTTTCTTTAAAAATCAAGCATTAATTTGAGGGCGTGGCCACAAAGAAAAGGTGCCTTTAGTTAAAATGAGAAACAGCTTAGCCTCCGAGATGACTCACTCTGGACTCTTCCACAGCCTCCAGCTACTTTGCAGCTACACGTAGTTCAAAGGGGGCAGGGGCGGGGCAAGGCCTGAGGTGGGGGGGCATCTGCTTCACTTTGCTTACTCCTGACACGGCACAGACGCACCGAGACACTGTCCCCTGCTTTCAGGAAAGGTTTATTGTGGTGACAGGGCCCCCTGTACAGTCCGTTTCAGGCCCAAGAGGGAACCGGGCCTGTTAGAGCCACCAGCCACAGAGGGCACAGGGCTGTGTCCGAGCTCAGAGAACTCACACCACTACATTGCAAGAAGAAATAAATACTACAGGACTGGGCCACCTGAGTGATTCCGCTGGCACCAGCATGAGGATGAAGCCCGCCAGGGGCTGTTGGAACCACTGTCTGCCGGGTCTCTGCTCATCCCCGCTGACAGCCCAGGGGGGTAGGGAGTATCCGCCTCCCAAAATACCCCACATCCACGGTGGGGAGAGCTGGGCTGGGCCAGGCCAGGTCGGGGGAGCTGCAGTGCCACCTGCTGGCCACAAGTGAGCATGGCACTGGGCCCACCGCATGGCCTGAGGGGGGTCCGTGCTTCCCCTTCTCCTCTGACCCTTCCTTCCAACTCTGCACTGTGGTGTCGCCACAGGCCGGCCAGGCCCAGCCGTGAGGGACATGGTGAGAAGGAAGGACACCTGCCTCTTCCCACAAGGACAGGAGTCCTGGAAGGAAGTGACCTATGACAGGGACGGTCCTGGGAACCAGTTACAATTCTCTGTCCCAAGCCAGGTGCCAGTGGAATGATTTGAGAAGTTCTGGGAGGGGAAAAAAGGACTAATTTCCAAAATCACTTATCAGATAAAAAGCAGATTTATAAACCCACACTCCTCTCCATATTTCATCAGGGAAAGGCGGTTTTCGGGAAGCTGCCACACATGCTCACTTGGCCGGAGACCTCCGCTCCCCCTCCTTTCCTCGAGTGGCGCAGGGCTCTGGGGAAGCAGTTCCCAGTCCTGCGTGTGCGGGCGGCGCGTTCCACAAGGACCCCAGGACAGACCAGGAACTGCAGGGTGGCTGTGGCCAGCACATGCTGAGGACCCTGGGGAGGGACCCCGAGGCATCTGGGGACCGGGGCCCCTGCCTCAGGGACAGGATCCTTGGGGACAAAGACCCAGCTGTGCCGGGGTCTGGTCCCGGTGGGGCTGCTGCGCTGTGACCTACAGCACCCAGGGGAGCGGCCGTCTCTGTCCCTTCACATAATTGATTTGTGACACCTTCTATAGGAATAATATAAAATAAACGTATCTTATGTCTGCTTCAAATTTGTAGACTCCCAGGAAAAGATTGTTTGCAGCCTCTTTTAATCTGGTTTCTCAAGGAGCTTATCCATCTGCATCAATCCTGTGGGCTGTGAAAGGAAAGGCGAACTCAGTGGGGTTCAGCCCTCAGGGGACCAGAGGCTGCCTGGCCAGCGAGTGCCTCTGGGGCGCTAAGGAGCAGCTGGGGTGGCTTCCTACCAGGCCACCAGAGCTGCACCCCCCCAGGGCAGCGCACCAGGGTCCCGAGCGAGTCCCCAGCATGACTGCTCCAGGGCGGGCGGCTGCAGAGGGCAGCTACTCACACTGCTTTGGTATCCTGAGCGCCTCGCTGTCCTGCGCCATCACCTGATGCAGGACTCCCCGGAACTGGTAAAGCACCTTCAGGTTCTTCTCTTCACCCACGCAGGGGTCGTAGAACCCGGGCAGCCCAGCCTGCAACAGACGGATTCGGTTCAAACCGGGACTCGAGGCGGCCGTCTCCCCGGCACGGCCAGCATCTGCCGCCACGTGCAGGCGAGGCGCCCTTTGCGGGGCCTTGACTTTCCCTCGGAAGAAGCACACTTTGCCACGTGAGGAGAAAGAAGTAAAAATTTGAAAAAGGGGCCTATTTAGTCCTAGACTTCCTTCTCAAAAGAGCTCCCCCCGCCCCAGTGCACCCCCATCTTCACAGAAGCCCCACCAAGATGGAGACACTGCAAGGCTTCCCGGGGTGCCAGGCGCCGCTGGGCCCGAGCGAGTGTGCACTTTAATCTGACGTTGACGTCCGCGCCCCAGGCTCCAGCGTGAGCCTCGGATGTGCTAGGCCACCTCGCACGCCTGGAACAAGGGGAGAAGTAAGCAGCAGGTGTGCTCCACGAAGGCAGGATGTGTGTTTGCTGCTGTACCCAGCGCATAGTAGGTGCTTAACGAATACTTGTGAGTGAATGAACGAGTGGCACGTGGAGCAAACTGCTCCAGTGTGGACATCACTGAGGTGCCGGGCAGCACCCCGCACGGGGCATGCTGGCAGCGTGGAGGGTTTCACTGGGATGACATACATGGCCGTTCCCAGGGGCTGTCCCCAGAAGCCCTGTCCATCTGACCCCGTGGGGACGAGGTGCTGTACCTTGGAGGCCTCTGTGAGGATGAGCTTCGAGTCCTTCACCAGGCACTGCAGGGGCACCGTCACGTCGATCACCTTCACCTTCTCGCTCTTCTTGCTCTTGTCATTGACAAACTTCCCATACCAGGCGTTGACGATGATGAGGCCTGAGGACGGCTCTGTCAGCAGGGGCGGGCCTCCAGCACCCTGTGCCCCGTGCCCCTGCCCCCTGCCACTGGACGGCAGGAGCAGCGTGCTCCGTGGAGACCCCCATGCCCACCCTTTCCCAGGAGAGGCCGCGCCTTCTCACCCATTCTGGATTCTTCTGCCTCAATGATCCTTCGGACAGATTCCTGCATCAACCGTACCTGCAAAGGATGAGGTCAGCGGCCATGAGGGCCCTCGCCGGGCTCTGCCTTGCTGCTCAGAGCCACAGCCCGGCGCCTGGCGTCAATGCAGCCCTCTGCAAAGGACCCGACAGTGCCATCATTAATCCGCATGTCTCCGTTCTGCTGTGCAAAGACAATTCTCTTAAGGGAAAGAAAAAAAGGACAACGCGCAGCACCATTTTTTAGAGTGACAGAAGAGAGGGAGAAAGAGAGGAAGGAAAACATGGATGTGAGAGAGAAACAGCAACCGGCGGCCCTGAATGAACCTGTAGCCCAGACACGTGCCAGGACCAAGAATTGAACCCCCATCGTTTGGTTTGCGGGACAAAGCCCAACCCACTGACCCACAGGGGCCAGGGCCCCACCACTTTCAAAATAACCTTGCAATGTCTTGTGAGGTCCACTGAACCTCGGGAACTGGGACTGATGTCCCAGTGCAGAATGCCAGTGGCAAGGTCAAGACCACCACAGTGACCAGTGTAGCTGCGGGGGAAGACGTCTGAGCAGAAGGAGGGAGGCAGTGTGTGCTCCGCCCACGGCGGGCACCTGGAGACCCACGCAGAGCACAGGACGCCCGGGGGACCCGACGCGGTACTCACCGCCGCTTCTGCCTCTTGCTTCTTCTGCAGGATGTCGGTGGCCGTGCTTTCCCTGTGCTTTTCCAGTTCTCTGTGTGAGAAAAGCACAGCCACACGTTAGCATGGCCTCACCCTCGCTGGACCGTGTCCAGCAAAACAGTCTGCGGGTCCGACTGCATTCCTGGATCTGGCTCTTTAAACAAAATATTTCCCAGACAACCTCGAGCAACTCTGTCTGTCACAGGCAGGTACAGCTTTCCCTCTGTCCCTAGAGGGCTCTGCCCACCTCCTCAGTGCGGCGAATGGAAAGCCACCGCCAGTCCCTTTGGAGAGAAGCCCCCACGGATAGGGCTCCCCGGGAGGTGGGAGGTCAGAGGAAGAGGAGAGACTGGGGGAGAGGCCACCCACCTTCTGGGATCATCACGGACTCTCCCAGGAAGGCCGCCATGCCCGTGAGACCCGAGATCCATGAATACACTTTCCCCTGGGGAAAGCACACGGACCGGGGCAGCACATACCTGCCCCGTGGGAGGATGAGACACAGCACACCCTGTGTTTCAAGCCTCAAGCCTCCTGGGCAGTAAGGACTCTGAACTCCATGGATTCAAAGGCAGAAGGGGCCCCAAAGCGGAGGTCGCTTTTCCTCTCAGACCCTGAACTCGGCCATGCCCACCCCTTCCTGACCCACGGCACACACAGCTACTAAAATTCTGTGGCACACCAGAAAACACATATTTTTTTCTGACCTGACTGAACAAAAGAAAACAAAACAAAAAACCCCACAACTGTCCATGTGTTGTCCTGGTTTAAAGTCTCAGCATTCTGTGAGCTTACGGTGACCCTTCCTGAGAGTGGGGCCGATGACAAAGGAAGGATGAGAGCGGCACCTCCAGTCCAACAGGCAACGCCCACCGGGCACACTGCGCGTGCGTTAATTAGTGTGATTTCCCCAGTCACCCCACGGGGGCTCCTGTCGTCACCCCCCCACCCGAAAGACGAGGACGCCAAGGCACAGAGGCGCTGGGTGCCGCCTGCGCCCATGCGGGCTCACCTCTCCTTCTGAGCCCGGAGGTATGGCTTGATGAGCAGGCGGTGCATGGCAAAGTAGACCACCAGGGGCCCCACGGTGGCGTAGAACACGGCGCTGGGGAGCAGCTGGTCCGTCAGGTGGATGGGGAAGAAGTACGTCTGACTGGCCCTGTTCAACCTGAAAACCAAACACCCAAGATGAGGCAGGGGTCCAGGGAAGGGGGATGGGTCTCTGCCCAGGAAGCGAGCCTCTCAGAGACACGAGGCCAGTCGGAAGGAGCCCCGGTGCCGGCCTGCTCACAGCCCACTCTCCTGTGCAGGTCCCCATTCCGAACTGAGCCGCTGCATTTGATGTACGTCACAGAAGGGAGGCCCCAGTCCTGCTGACCTCTAAGGGCAAAGCAACAGATTGACGCCTGACCAGAGCCCATGTGGCCTTAGACGGCAGGAGGGGACGCGCCTCCAGAGGTCCAGGAGACAGACCTATCTCAATCCTCAGCGGATCTGTCTGAAGGAAGCGTGTGTGGACACCACACTCAGAACTGCAGGTTCGACAGCTGACAGGCACTGCGGCTTTGTGGTCAGACTGTCGTCCTCACTTTTACCTGCAGTCACGTCTGTTTCAGGTCCACGGGCAGCTGAGGTCTCACAAAAGGTGTACAGAGAGCTGTCCGATGTTCTGCATTCTAATCCCTTCCTGCCCCCTCCCAAACTGGGTCACTAACTAGGCATAGAGCCCTGTGGCTCAGTGTCTGTTTTAAATACTTTTCCAGTACAGATGTCACGCGACACGATCTGGACAGCATTCCTGTCCCCAGAACCATCTCCTCCCCAACTGTGTGGTGCCTGTGGACACAGTTACTGGCGCTGTGTTCTGAGCCTGTGACACATCTCCAGTGTGACTTACTTACTTGACTTTGAGAGAAACTCCCTGGGGAACCCCAATGCTGACAGTGGCCCCGAGAATGCTGTGCCTGGAGATTTTCCTCTCGGCCCCGTACTCCACCACCGTCCCGAAGAAGCCTGCCCTGTGGGAGTGGACGGCAGTGAGAGAGAGCAGTCCCTCGGCCCCCACCCACGGGCACTATCACTCAGAACAGCGCTGGGCCCGCCACCGCCTTCTGCACCACGCACAGCCTGTGAACAGAACGAAGCCGGGACCCTGGTGGTCCAGCTGGTCCATTTGACCCCCAGTCCTTCGACCCCTGGGACTGCATAGTAGCAACTCCTGCCATCCCTCGGTGGGAGGCGCTTGAGAAGCATCTCACGCGACAGATGAATGCAGACGGGCGGCTTCCACCAACCGGCTCCACCATCAGAAACCCTCATCGGCACGCTCCCCTTCATGCTCCCCGTCAGCCAGGCCAGGACTTACTTAAGGGACCCTTTCACGCGAGTCTGGTCGTCATCCTGGAACTTGTGCTGGTAGCTGATCAGTGCAAAGGAGTGAGGGATTCCCAGCTGAGAAGACAGGGAGAAAACCAGGGTTGGAGGCCGGGCCGCGGCCCCCGAGCACACCACACGGCAGGCCTCTCGGGCTGGGCCACAGTCTGGCGGCTGCACAAAGTGTGTGGAAACTTCCCAGCAGCTGATATTTAAACACTGGGAGACTTCAAATAAAACCCGGTCTTCTGCCTTATCGCGTTAAAAAAAAAGTGCACCATCGAGCGTGCAGTCCTTCACGCCAGCAGCGCCCGTGTCCCCGTCGGCCAGAGTGGCGGCATCGGAGCGCTCGGCTCCACCAGGCTGCCCTGGTTCTGTGGGCTCCTTCCGCCGGAAGACGTGAAAAAGGCACGTGGCCTTAGGGTGACCGGACGCAGCTCCCTGGGAGCCCGAGAACCATGGCACGTCAACACCCGAGTGAGGGCGCGCGCGGTCCCCACCTGCACGGCCATGGTGAAGTGGCTGGTTTTGGTGTCCCGGACGATGCTCGTGTTCATGGCCGACTGGATGCCCCATCGCCACTGCAGGTAGCCCACGGTATTCTTGTCCAGGTTCCGAGCCAGGACAGTGGTGAGGCCGGGCCGGACTCCACGGGACGAAAACTGCAGAGCACAGTTGGTCGTCACGAAGCTGGGGGGACAGACAAAGGGTCCTGGATGACGCCTGGCTCTCAGCTGTCCCTTGGCCCCGTCCTCTCTGCTAAAACCCTGCTCACATCCTTTCCCTCACCCCTGGGCCAGCTCCCGGTGCAGAAAGCAGGAGACCAAGCCTCTATCACAGGAGGGAGACGACAGTGACTCGGTGAAACTGTTCCAACAAATGCCCGGCTCACCTGCACTGCCCATCCCGTCCATTCCCACTTCGGCTGCAACCAGAGAGGTGCCTGCCAGAGGGCCAATCCTATTGCAAGTCACAGTCAGTCACCGGGGAGACTCCTGAACTGGCCACACACTAGAATAACCTGCTGATCTAGAAAACACTGCCGCAGGCTCCCGCCCCAAGGAACTCTAGTCAGAGTGTGAAAAGCTCGCAGGTGCTGAGAGGCGCAGCAGGGCCTGAGAACCCCCAGAGCCCACCTGGACCAATGCAGCCAGTATTTCTGGGTGGGGCCCAGGCATGAAAAGGCTGCCCACAGGGTTTGGATGGAAACCCACAGACTGAAGCCACTTGAAAAGCTGGTACAGGAAATCTTCGGTGTCCTAGATAGATCCTGTGGCTTTAAGTAACACGAAGTATGACAAAACCAACTTTCCCACGGGCTGGCTAATGTCAGCAGGAGTGAAGTTCCTGAGGCATCTCCTCTGCCAGCAGTGAATCCAGAGTCAAGGCCGCGCCTGCTCTTCTTGATGGCGCCTGTGGCACAGCTGACCATTCCCAGGAAAGGCCTCGGAAGCTGGTTTCCTGGGGAGCAGCCCCATCTTCTGGTCAGAAAGGGGTACTTCATCTCACTAGCAAAGGAGCGACTCCGGTGTTAAAAGTGAGACACTGTGCCTCCAGTCACAGCCCCCATTCAGTCCCCTTCTCCTCTTCCTAAGCTCTGGAGGTGCCACTTCTGCCATTGAAATGGTAACAGGTGAGATAACTTCGACCCTGTTCGTTCCTCACTCACAGACTTCCAGGAGCTTCCCACGGCCCGACGCACGAGCTCCTCACACTCCTCAGGCCCTGACGTGACCTTGATGTCAGCAGGTCCTTGAGTTGCACCTCGGCGACTGTTTTCGGCTTTACTGGGGTGAGGGGAGCAAGCTAGAAGGGGGATAAAAGTCACCCCCAGAATTTTAAGACAGGGTGACACAGGGACACTTAACGAACCAAAACATAAAGAGCAAGGTCCCTGTGTGTTTTTATCCAGTGTGTCCGAGAGAAACACAAACTTTGGGGAGAGACCGGCAACACGGGCGCCGTGCAGAGAGCCCGGGACCACTCCGCAGAACATCTCTGCCTTTCTTCAGGCTGCTCCGCACCGACTCTGACCACTAGTTTGGGCGTCCAGGGAGCATGACCCTGGGATTCGGGCGCCCCAGGACACTGCAAATCAGTAAACTGGCGTCCTTGTTTATGAATCTTCACTAAAGTCCGATGACCTGGAGACTCTGAAGGAAATTCCACACCTGCAAAAGCTCCTGACCAGCTGGCCCTGGAGCCACGTGAACCCTCCATGGACAGATGCTTTGCGGCTCAACCAGAACGAAATGGCCAACAGACTTCCCTCAAACACGTATTTCCTCACGTGCCCGACCTTCAGAATGACCTGCTCTGCTTGCTCAAACTAGGGAGACGCAGGCCCCTCCCCAGGAGGGCCTGCTCCTGGGGGCAGGGATCTGGGCTCTCAGCCAGCATCCCAGGTGACAGCCCTGAGCAGACAGGGCAGGGCAACGCGGACACGCAGAGAATACTCTGTTCACCCCACGTGCTGCTGACAGGTACAAATCCGTGTCCCCTCCCAGAAGCAGCAGCCCAAGCCCCAGAGCAGAGGCGGGAGAGGCCAGGTCCGACCTGCCGTCGGGCCTAGAGCAGCCGCTCCCCTCGGCCTCTGCCCAGGCCGACCACCTGCACAAGCTGTGTCTCTGCCTAACACTCCCCTTCCGCTCTACACGCTGACGGACCTGTGCACTTGCTTTCACTACTGACCAAAGTGGCCAGCACGGACACACAGACAATGGGATGTGAGCCTGACCCATCCCAGGCTGCCCTGCACTGTATTTCACCTGAGCTCACCCTGGGGCCCCACATGAAGTCGGGGTCACCCCTGCTGCTCCAGAAGGGACAGGACTTTGACATCACTGCCATAGGGATGGAAGCTCCGCACGGCCACTCCCAGAGGCCGGGAGGTCTCACAAGCTGCCCCACTGCCCACGGAGCCCCTTTGCAGAGCTTTCTGCATGTTCTTGGGACAAAGAAACTGTACACGAGCTCACACATGTCCGACTGCTGACCCTCATCCCTATTATGAAGGCGCCCCCCTCCAGGCTTCTCACAGCCCATGGTGACCAGGCAGGGCACTGAGGACACCGCGCCAGGTAGGAGCCCCGGGCAGACGCAGAACCCACCCGTGTGCCCCTGCGCCCTGCCCTAGTGACCCCGCAGGGCGGATGGGCAGTTCCAGATGACCTCGACAAAGAGAGTGCACAGCTTCCGGTGTCCTAAATCCACAAGACCATCAGAGGGTTATCTCTTTATATTTACCATCTTGGTGTGAGATTGCGGAACAGCTTTAGACCAAAGAGAGGCCCCTGCAGGTCCCCAGCTCCAAATTCTAACTGTTCAAAACAGAAAAAGGAAAAGCATTAAAGGTGTCTTATCTCATGGTGTCTCCCCGGTCACAGGCCCAAGCCGGGGCTCTGAAGGAGCAGCGAGCAGAGGCCTGCTGTCTCATCCTCACCTCTGCCAGAGAGCACGGGGCTCGCTAACCCACAGAAGGCAGCTCCCTGTCCCTGAAAGGAGCCCCTCCCTCCAAGGAAACATTCCTCGCCTGCCCCGCTCAGGCCCCATGGGGAGATAGGCCCGTGTCTGCGGAGCGCCTGCGGAGCGCCTGCCGTGCAGCCAGGTGCGGCCCCTCACCCCCGCCCTCCCTGGAAGGGCCCTCATTCCTGCCTTTCCTTCTGCTCTGCTTCACCGCCTGCAAGTATCCCAGGCGACTGGAGATGGCTCTCGGGAGCCCATCGGCAGTTCCGCACTCACAGCCTTGGGCGCCATACCAGGCCTGGCTGCCTCACTGACTAGTCTGGGGGACTTTCTGGGCAACTCCTCAATGTTAATGTCATGCAGCTCGATTTGCTCAGCAGAACTGGCTGTTAAGTGGCCACCAATCAGTGGACCAGGGCACCCAGACAGAGGCCCTGCCTTCTGAATTGTCTAGGAAAACGGAGAGCCTCCTCGGATTTTGCCGAGTTTCCAGAGGTTACATTTCCGGAAGCTGGCACCTGCGGGGACAATCTGTGGCTGTAGCCTAACTCCGAGCTGTTGGGCAGTCTGAGGGAGCTCTTGGACATGAGGCATTTTTCTCTTGGGGGAGTTAACCTGTGAAGTTTGACACCTGGCACCCTATTACGGATTCTGAGGGTTGGCCTTTAGAGTGTCAGTGTCCCAGAATGCAGTGTTGCGAAGGACAGCATGGTGGCCAGCTGACGTTCTCACCTCTCCCCATCCCTTCGCGGAGGTGACCCGTCTGAGCGCAAAGTTGATGGAGCCCCCTCCGTTCCCGTTCTGGGTCGAGAGGCTTCCCGACAGGATGGCCGTGTCTGTAGCTGTCAAGGGTGCCTAGGAAATGACATTTGCTGGTAACATCAGTCAAAGCATCAGGAAGTGCCAAGAACAGTGGCCTGATGAACCCGAAAGGGCCCAAAGTGCAGGCGATTCCACAGTTAAGGGAGTTGGGAAGCAGTTACCTCAATGGCTTCCTCTGTCCCTTTGAGGGGCAGGTGGCCACCAAGGCCATGTTTTATAAGAGCCTTAACTGGGAAATTTCAAAAACCCAGGAGAAACAAGAGGACCAAATGCTGGTTCTCTGTGTGCCAACACAGCATCTGTCTGCACGGCAACTTCACTGTGGGCCTTCCTGTGCCTGGGCTGACTGAGCTAGGGCCTCAGGCCCTGGAGAATAAGCAAGTCGAGGGGGCAGGGGCCTGCTGTGACCCCCAGCCGAGTGGCCTGGCATTACCATGTCCGGACTCTGGAAGCTAAGCCCAGCCTCCACACTCCTGCTGCTAATACGGGGCAAAGCAGGGACCCACAGGTTGTGCTGGGGGCTCTTTTCTCAGTGGCTCGCTGCACCCTTTCCCAAATACGATGGGAGAGACCCTGAGCACAGACCCTCGTCCCAGCTGCTTAGGGCACCTGCCCACTGCACGTACCTCGATGGACTGTGATATGTGCATCTTGTTGATTTCAATCTGTGGAAAGCTGCTTCCGGACACATCTTCGTAGTCCTCCTCGTAGCGATCAAAGAGGTCAGTGGCATCGATGCCGACGCTGATGGTCCCCTGGGTGGAGAAACAAGCAGTCAGCACCAGCGGAGGGCTCTGTGCAGTGAGACGGCAGGCTGCACCACGGCGGCCCTGGGCGGGGCCCCTGGGTCCGGGCAGGGCTCCGCCAGGAGCCCATAGGGCAAGAAGGCCACGGTTCAGATCAAACCACTGCAGAGCGCCACCAACCTTGTGTCTGAAAACCCGTCAGGCTGGCGGCGAAGGGCATGCTGAACAGGACACGTTTCATGGCTTTATAAACAGATGGTCTCCAGATTTAACAACCCATGAACGTATAAAACAACCTCGAAACTAGCTGCATGGATTAGACATCTTCCTGTAAATATTCTTACATCACAAAACTACCTTAAAACTGTTTCAAACATAAAAATGCCTTCTAAGGCAAAAAAGTGCAAGCAAAATAAATTATGAACAATTGGGAGACTGAAAAATTGTTCCACCTGCAAAAATTAATTTGAGAATTGAGTTTTGAGAAACAGAACCCAATATTCTTAAGAATTGCTAAGTTAAAATTTTACTGATAAAAATACTCCTTACTCAGAAAATCAATGTGTATTATTTTTGTAAAACTTTTCTTTTTTTAATTATATTTTATTGATTATACTATTGTCCGATTTTTCTCCCTTTACCCCTCTCTACCCAGTACCACCCCACTCCCTCAGGCAGTCCCCCCTCCATTGTTCATGTCCATGGTTCGTATTGAGTAAGTTCTTTGCTACTCCATTTCCTGTACTGTACTTTACATCTCCATGGCTATTCTGTAACTACCTATTTGTTCTTTTTAAAAAATATTTTACTGATTATGCCATTACAGTTTTCCTATTCCCCCCTTCATTCCCCTTCACACTGCGCACCCCTCCTCCACCATTTCCCCCCCTTAGTTTATGACCACGTGTCTCAAGTTCTTTAGATTCTATATTTCCCATACTACTCTTGCCCTCCCCCCTATTTTCTACCTACCGTCTATGCTACTTACTTCCTGTACCGTCTCCCCCCTTCTCCTCCCACTCCCCTGTTGCTAACCCCCCATGTGATCTTCATTTCTATGGTTCTGCTCCTGATCTAGCTGTCCTCTTAGTTTGCTTTTGTTTTAGGGGTGGTTGTTAATAACTGTGAGTTTGCTCTCCTTTCACTGTTCATATTTTTTTATCTTCTTTTTCTTAGATAAGTCCCTTTAATATTTCATATAATGAGGGCTTGGTGATGATGAACTCCTTGATCTTATCTGAGAAGCACTTTATCTGCCCTTCCATTCTAAATGAAAGCTCTGCTGGACAGGTCTTTGGATTTCATGCTTGGAATACCTCTTTCTAGCCCCTTCTTGCCCGTAAAGTCTCTTTTGAGAAATCAGCTGACAGTCTGATGGGAACTCCTTTGTAGGGGACTGTCCCCTTATCTCTTGCTTCTAGGATTCTCTCCTTCATTTTAATCTTGGCTAATATAATTATGATGTGCCTTGGTGTATTCCTTCTTGGGTCCAACTTCTTTGGGATTCTCTGAGCTTCCTGAATTTCCTGGAAGTCTATTTCCTTTGCCAGATTGGGGAAGTTCTCCTTTATTATTTGTTCAAATAAGTTTTCCACTTGTTGCTCTTTCTTTTCCTCTTCTGGTACCCCTATAATTCAGATGTTGGAATGTTTAAAGATGTCCTGAAGGTTCCTAAGCCTCTCCTCATTTTTTTTGAATTCTTGTTTCTTCATACTGTTCTGTTTGGTCATTTTTTTCTTCCTTCTGGTCCACTCCCTAGATTTGAGTTCCAGTTTCCTTTCCATCACCATTGGTTTCCTGTGCATTTCCCTTCATTTCACTTAGTTTAGCCTTCATTTGTTCCTCTAATTTGTGACTAAAATCAAACAGTTCTGTGAGCATCCTGATCACCAGTGTTTTGAACTGTGCATCTGATAGGTTGGCTATTTCTTGGTTGCTTAGAGTTACTGGCTCTGGGGCTTTGAGTTCTTCTTGAGCCATGTATATTTTGGTCTGTTCGTACCTGTTACGTATGAGGGGCGGAGCCTAAGGTGTTCACCAGGGCAGGGCGACCCATGTTGCTGGATTGTGATGCTGTATGTGGGGGCGGGGTCAGAGAGGGGCAATGGTGGTCCCCTCTGCTGCTTCCCACCGCTGGGGCCTGCGCAGTCTGTCTCACTGCTCGCTCCTTTGCCTGGTTTATCTGCGCGTGAAAGTATGACCGAGGTCAGCCTGCCTCCTTGCACCCTCACTGGGTCTGCCTGTCGCAACTCCACGCCTGGGATCGGCCAACTGCCGCCAGAGCGCCTGGGTCAGTCCCGCTGAGTTTTCCTGCGCAACCCTGCTCTGCCAGCCACTGGCTCCGCCCCTCTTACTAGTCTTACTGAACGGTTCGTTGTCGTCGGACTTCCGTATGGTTCAGTTTTCTGTGTTTTGGTTGTGTTTTTGTTACTAAAACTCTATTGTCTTTAAACTTGGTTGTGCGAGAAGGCACAGTGTTTCCACCTACGCCTCCATCTTGGCCCTGTTTTCTTAAGACTTTTCAAGTGGGTGTATATCTTAATCTAACATGTAAGACCATGACTGCACACATTTTTATTACATTTCCTGCAGCCCCTTTTTAAAAACAAGATTTAGTTCACATGCGATATGAATGGCACCCACCTGAAGCGTACAATGAACTTTCACAGATTCATCTACGTTTGGGAAACCACTTCTGAACTCACGACACAGAACATTTCTACCACCCCACAAGGGGCTTGGGAGGGTGTTTTCTCACTGAGAAGGGACGCGTGAACAGCTGTGAGGGGGACGGGGGAGGGGCCTGCGGGTACCCAGAGGCGTGAGCAGGCCAGTGGGGCTGGAGCAGAGGGAGGAGGCCAGTGAGGAACTCAGAGGGGTGTCCCGCATGGGGAAGGCTTAGGGGACGACACCAGTTAACCCTCTTGCTTAGGCTGGTAGAGCAGTAACACCAGATTCCCAGTTTTAGAGTACTGTTATTGTCATCATCGAAGATACGGTCAATAGGTGCCTTGGACTGAGAAGCCAGAGTGGCTTTGGTGGATAGGCCTTCCACCTTGTACCTCTAGCATCTGTCACCGTCCCATCAGATGCTGTATGCGATGCACGGTGACTTTAGGAGATGACAAGGACTGCCCGACACTTTCGTCCCATCTCTTTCCAGGTGAAATGTGCAGCCCCTCCCACCCTAGGACCTGCTCGCAGGTGCCTCCTGCTGGTCCAGGGGCGCCGCACAGCTAACTCCTGCCAGTCTGTTGGTGGTGGGAGAGGAATTAGATGCTGCTGCCCATGTGGTGCATCAGGCACCGGGGTGGCCAGTGCCTTGGACTGTGACGTGTATAGAGCTGTCCAAGCCACCAGGCAGCCACATCCATAGGAAGCTCCAGGGGGGGTGAGAACACATCCCCCTGGGAGGGAAAGGCGGGCCAGTCCTGCAGCACATGCAAGAGCAGTCCCGACACCCTCGCCAGTGTTTTGTCATCGAATGGTCACTGACATCAGGGTGGCACTACTCTGTGGGGCCACAGTGAAGACTGTAGCCCAGGTCAGGTGGCTCAGTGGGCTAGCGCATCGTCCCGCTCCACCAAGGTTGCAGGTTCAATCCCCATTCAGGGCACATACCAGAATCAACCAATGAATGCATCAATAGTGGGATAACAAATCAATGTTTCTCTCAGATCAATAAATAAAAAGTAAAAGTATTTTCTAGGTGTTGTGAACCATATGCCGTAGTTTCTGCTGCAACCTGACTTTGCTGTTGTAGGGAAAGCAGCCAGACTACCCAGTAAAGGACCAGGCCTGTGGTCCGATGAACACCTCATTCACTGATTCTGAAATCTGATTTTCACATACTTTTCACTTCTCAAAATATTGCTATTCTTTTGTTTTTGAGCATTTAAAAATGTGAGAAACATTCTTGCCCCACAGGCCCCACAGAGAACAAACAGTGGGCCAAACCTGGTGCCTCCTGATAGAACCTACAAGGGCCTCTTTCTGGGGGGGGGGGGGGGGGGGCACAACCGAGGCTTTCTTTTTGGTGAACTCTTTAGGCAGTAATGAGATTAAACATGCTGTAGGTTAAAAATAAAAGGTACTAAATTTTCATTTCCCCAGAAAGTTAATGAACTTTTGTAACTTGAATGTTTTTCAACACTGACCATCTGTAGTGCTAACTGCAAACGTGTGAAAATCAAGTCTTTTTAGAGAGAGAAAACGAGGGAGAGGGAAACATCGATTTGTTGTTCCACTTATTTACACTCATTGGCTGCTTCTTATGTGTGCCTTGGCCAGGGATTGAACCCGCAACCCTGGTGCACTGGGACAATGCTTTAACTAACTGAGCTACCTGGACAGGGCTGCAAACCAAGTCTTAGATTTGCTAAAGAAGCTCTAGCGCCTCCTTCAATAGTCAGTTGTTCTTTTAAATCACACACCTAAAGTGAGCAGCACGGCGGTGTATTTGCACCTAACTGTAAAAATGACTTCATTTACATCAAGTGGTAGTTCCTCGGTTAATTTCACTCGTGTGTCGTCCCGAGGTCCGTAGCGCCCAAGGAAAGATAAAGCAAGAGGTGTTGGGCGCTGGTCCTGTGAGCAGGAGGCCCTCCCGACTGCGGACGGGTGAAGCCGGTGCACCATGGGCGCCAGCCCGAGGCTCCGAACGGAGCATCAGCTAGGCAGTCCTGACACCCACTGGTCTGTCGAGGGTGACAGGCTGCGACCAGCTTGCCCGATCAGCTGGGTCAGAAAGCGCCGCACCGAACGTGAGACTGGTTTGTGGTGACACGCAAACACTGGTTGAGGTGAGGTGCAGCGTCATGGTGAGTGTTTCCACTGAACCAAGAACCGGGGGTCAGGATGCTCTCGAACTAGCTGCAGTGCAATAATGGGTGGCTGTGTCACAACGAGCTGTGACGGCCCTCCCATGGAAAACAAAGCTGTAGGTGTTACACCGAGCAAATATTCTTGTGTGTTCATAGTACCAATACTTTTCATGAAGCTGATTCTGA